AACTTTGGACATCTTAAAATGAAATGTTTAGCACATCTTACATATACTGTTGCCTAGATATCGATACTGATACTACAAAATCATAAACCTGACCTAACTATCTCCATACAATATCTTATGGAACAGGTGATCTGCAATTTATAAGTTATGATATCGCATCTACGTTTTTTTTTCCTTCACGTTCCCAGTGGAACATAGGGCCTCAAGCTAGTGGCTTGAAGTTTCTGAAGAAGTGTTTCATTTTACAGGATGAGGTTGCTAGATCCATGCCAAATCTTTCCTCTTTACCAGCATTGTTATTGGCTTAGCGAGTTAAAGGAGTGCGTCTGTGGCCGGGGATCGAACCCTGTACCATGTGCATGGTCGGCAAGCATCCTAACCGCTGTGCCACCGACGCATCTACGTTTATCTGTAAGATTTCTAGTTACAATTATGTTATAGTTGCTTTCGATCATTAAACCAGATGGCCAAAACTAAGATTCATACACCCTTAATACGCATGCAACTCACACAGCAATCAGAAAGATTTTACGACACAAGGGAAAGACTGATTTCCTAGACACTGATATGTGACTTGTTGTGTGCTACTGATATGATTGATCAGTAGTATACGTATAGAAAGAGAAAAATATCAGATAGCAGGCAGATAGATGGATTTGATGTCAAAGTAAGTAAATGATACAGAGTTGCAGAGAAACATGGAAGACGTGAAAGAAACACAAAGAAACACAATATGAAGGTAGGTCAGAAGTAGCACAACACGGAAGATCTATGCAAATGGTGTGTTGAAGATAAAGTGTACATGATTTAGCTATACAGAGATGACAAATTGCAAATAAACATTCCTTTACCAAGTCTTCGTCCTCTACTGTTACAATTCGACTAAGAAAATTTAGCTACATTTAGTTATATACAGCTCCATATCATCCTTAGTCAAACAAGTAATGAAGGAACTTGGCATACATATTCATGAGGAAAATCTACATACAGGATGTGGAAATGCGTGGGTTAATTCCAAATTCAGTATGGAAATCCTGTACTCCACCAGTATGGTACTCACCAGACACATAATGGTAATGACTCCATCCGCGACAATACTGTTGGAGAAATGATTACCAGCTATCAATGGAAACTGTACTGTGAATATTAGGAGAAAGAATGGCACATATCATATGTCTAAAAGGTGATTCGATTCTTAACAAAGTGAGTCATTTCACTCCATTTTGGATAAGATTTTATTTTGATAAGTCACACAGTAATATCAACCGATGACGTTTCGAACACAAACTATTGCCACTCATAATCATATCAAGTCACTCACACAACTTTTTCCTTTCATTTATATAAATGTGTGGAATCGATTAGATATTGGAATAAAAATCAATATGAGATAATGTACATTCAGAAATAATAATATGAGTGTTATTGATCAATTACAATCAGATGGGAAATAAGACGAGTGTTTTTATCGTCATAACAAGTAACTTGTTAGAATGTTGTGATGTGCTTGAATTGAAATAGAATTTTGAGATTATTTATTATCCTACTCTGATTTGTCTGATTGGTGGTAACAATATCTTCAATATTTCTGGTATTTGCATTGAGTCATTTCTGTTGCATATGTTGAGTGTAGACTCAATGAACATGGCAGGATTCAGTAATCAATCTCTCTCTCCACCTACCTAGATTACTTCTTAGAATCTTAACCTTCTCCCACCCTATTGTGTGGTTGTGCGTTAATGTATGTAGTGCAATTGCTGGGCTGTTTTCAAAATTACTTATCTTCTCTCGGTCAACCATTCTTACCTTAGTCAAATTCTTATGTTCCGACAATCTGATTACCCCCGATCTACTAGTTTGACCTATATAGTTGACCTCACAGTCATTGCAGGGTATTTTGTAAATTATATTATTTTGTTTAATTGGGTCTACCGGGTCTTTTAGCCTACAGAGCTTGTCTTATCTGAGTGAACAAGGTATTAAGAAGACAAATTTCGCGAGATGATATCATTTCGTAGTTTCTTTACAACCGCTTTACAACTAACATGGTTAACAATGATAAAATGAAATTCATGAAATTACTCAGTTAAATCAAAACAAAAGTACATACTAATGACCAATCATATTAAGATAGTCATGCAGTCCAGGTAGCGAAGATTGAAGTCAATTTTTTGTACCAGTTTAGGCTGTATGTATTAATCTACCATTCAAGGGACCAGATTATGCAGTTGACAGCTCAAAGACTTTCAGCCATCAAACGAACATTCTACGCCGCATCTCTTTTCTCACTTACCGAACATTTTCGTTTCCTGTCCTACGATTAAAGGACGAAATTCTGCGGACTCTACTTCAAACTGTATCTACAAGTCCACCTGCAGCTGCGGTGACACCTATATAGGTAGAACTAACAAAATTATCTGAGTGAGTTTGTAGGTTTGAATCCCAACCTAATTCCTGCTTTATTAAGAATCCTACGTAATGGAGTTATACTCTTTCACAGTGCCTAAGTTTTATACTTATATCAATGAGTCATTTCATTAATCCTAATTTTTTAAATAATACTAACAAACAGGTAAATGATCTCGGCAGAAATATTAAAAATTAGGTAATCAGTGGATGGCGAGAAACTTGTAAGTGAAATAAGCGTTCATTATATGTATCCGGGTGCAGTGAATGACCGACCATATTTACCACTTTAGTTTTGAGCGTTCAAAGCTATTTATTCTTGCTTTTCAAACTATTATTTATCACAGATCACAAGTTGGTCATCTGTGTTGCACCAATATGAAGATTAAACGTACAGTTTTAAATAGAAAAGAAAATCAATACATGAATTCCTATTATGGATAAGGTTAATACAGCATATTGGTATGTTTGCTGAGTGATTTCTTTGACATGAGACACAATCCCCCTCAATGCTAATGCATATCATTTGAACTGTTCAGGTAAGGTCTCATGATGTTAAATTTTATTAGTTCATCCTAAATCGTACAAAAATTTGAGCATTATAACCTATCATCAATTAATTATTGTCTTCAATTCTACTTCGACTTAATCTAATCCCAGCTCATGATGAAATCCTCCACGCAATCAAACGAAATCTCTACAAAACCAATATCTGAAAATTAATCTGATGCTCACTAGCGACTGGCTCTATTCAGGCAGTTAACCTGAGGTTCTAGTGGGAAGCCGTGACCAGTAGGGTACAGCAGGTTGAAGGTGAGGCAGTAGACATTGCGAAATGGTCGCGCTATGTCGTCAATTGGCAGAAGTTAGAATTCAGAACCATTGGATCGGGTCCCAGTGGCTCAGTAGTCACGAGCTCGCTTGTAACCAGAAGGTCCTGGGTTCGAACTTCGGTGGGTGCCATTGTTGAAGAGCCCAAACAAGGACGAAACAGCTGTCCAATACTCCCAGGTTTTCCAGTGGTTCTTTAACTGATGTCAGCTCGTGATGAAATGTTCCATACAATCAAACAAAATCCCTACGAAACCAATACTTGAAAATTCGACTTAATCTATTAAAGTAATGAAGTTGAAGTTACTTTTGTCTGGTATTGCAGATAGGACATAGATAGAGACTATCTCGGGATTCAGTAGCAGGCATTACGGTGGATCGACTGCACCCATATTATAGACTCAAGTGGAGTAGCCTTTTCAGACGACAAAATGTGACCTGACCTGTTCGTGTAATTCAGAGTCATAAAAGACCAGAGAGTGTAGTATTTAATGAGGATACAGAAACCTATTCATTGAGTACAAAGACTCAGGGATGCGATGACCGAAACCGCTGTAACCTGAGAAATGCCAATGCAGAGATGAATGCGCGTGTATGTGAAGCAGAAGGTGTCTGTATGTGCGTGTGTAACGATAAGCTCTCTCATTAAAAATGTGAATGAAAGTTTTTCAAAGGAGACACGAATAGGTTGTCACTTTTTATCGAAACATAATGAGAATCCGCGAAGGGAGGTGGACCAGTTCAAGAAGCAATGTCTCAGAACGCATAACACTGCTGGAAGATGTTTTTATAGAGATGGAGAGGAAACCGACTGGTCCCCTGTAAAGCTAGGTGAGGTACTTCCATTCATCACATGCGGAAGTGAATGCTCACCAAGCCAACATGGTGAATGAACTGACTGAATATGAACTGCTTGGAGTCTGTTTGCGTCCGACTGTCAACCACCGACCAACACCAGAGAGGCAAGGTAAGGAAGGATTAACCACTGAACTTCTGTGTTTAAGATGATTCCACGTTAATCTGTCAGTCAGACATCCATTGAAATACACTTCCAACAATTTATCGACTATTCTTACCTAACTAACTAACTATTGTATGGAGGATTTCATCATGAGCTGACATCAGTTAGAGAACCACTAGAAAACCTGCAGGGAGTACTGGACAGCTGTTTCGTCCTAGTTTGGGACTCTTCAGATGCCCAGTACTCCCTGCAGGTTTTCCAGTGGTTCTCTAACTGATGTCAGCTCATGATGAAATCCTCCATACAGACAAACAAAATCCCTACAAAAACCAATACTTGATAACTAACTATTCTCAAACTACTGAAATGTATATGTTGACTAATGGCAATAGAAAACAGTAATAAATATTACTGAACAATTGCCATTACTTGTATTTTAAAAACAAAACAAACTCATAGAGTTCAGAAAAAGAAAACTAATCCATGATTTGACAAAAGAAGGAAATATTCTACCGTCTTTACAACACAATTACTCATTCAACAAAAATGTAACACACGCCTAGTACAGTGCAAAAAAAGAGATTAAACTCATGAAAGAATGTGATCAAGGATAAAAACAAAAGGCTTTTAAAAAAAAGTAATAAACAAACAAATAAATACTTTACATGTTACATATTATAAGGACTAATCTTCAAATATTAATAATAATAATAATACATGAAGAAAAGGCTGCTAAACAGTGTAAGGCTAAGTTGAAATTTTGCCCAATAACACACACACACACACAGACTATCAGTAATAATTAATGATGATAGAAAAATTTAGTTGACACTAGTGGAATATCATTAGCGCAGACAAGATGAATTTGTGAATTACTACTAAACGTTTTATATTCATTTATCTGAAGTGATGGATCGTAAACAAAGCGAACAGCACGTGTTTGAACTATCGGTATAGGGAAATATGATGTTGCCTAGACAATGAAAGGAAAAGACAAAAATACGGGTTTCATTCACACACAAAAAATGATACATACATAAAATTAAGATGATATCTCATAAAAAAAATGGCCATAAGGTTTCAGCCAGTTAATACAATCGGGTATTACTGTTTCAGTGTGTTTTTATTTGAATCAGTGAAATCAAAAATTACATAAGTGACAGGTAAGTGCTTCTTAGCTATTGTTTCGTCCTGGTGTGCGACTCATCAGTGGTATGCACCCAACGGGTTTCGAAATTAGGTGGAGCCTTCAATGCTGTTGGTGAGATTATGGATGAATGCACCCCCGCCCATAAGCGCTGTGATTTCCCCATCACACGACCCCCCCCCCACATGTCACCCTCAAAGACACACCCAACTCGTCATTTTCCCTTCAAGTTCCACTCTAAAATCAGCCAGGTCTGATGTGTGATGACGCTCAATGGTTACACCTCAGTATATGTTTAATCAATCTCCAGTTACTTGTCGCTAATCCTCTCTGACTAGCTGACCTTCAGTATGGAACGAAGACAACTGTTGGTGAAATTCGGCAGCCTGTTCAAGATCATTTTGACGATGATGCGCTTAATATCTGAACTATAATAGAAGCGCTAACCTGACATTTGTGTTGAAAATCCAAATTTTGTTGCTTACGCTTCATACACAAGTGTGTATAAAATTCATTAAAGATATGGAGAGAAAAAAAGCGAATATATACGCAAAATTTAATCACAATAAAATGTTTTTAGAAAACTATCTTATAGTCATAATTAAAAAATAAACATAAAAAACCAATATTGTAGTAAAGAATATAACAACGAAAAAAAACTACCTCTTTATCATTTGAATTCAAATGAAGAAAACTGCACGGAAGTGTAGACGATGTAGAAGGCTGTACATGATTAGAGTCATTCCCTGATGTTAAACGAATAATTTGACCATTAGGCGAAATAATCGACCTGTAGGTTGGTGAAATAATCCTATCCAATAACTTGAAATCGATTGATGGATATACATTGAACCATAACGGATCTATAGAATTTTCTGCTGTAATCTAGATATTAAAAGTAATACAGGAATATAGTGTACTAACAAAATAGTGAAGCGAAACTTTTACATTTGACAAACAACCCTAATTCAAAATTTCTTAAATGAAAAGATTGTTACATAAGTCTTTCTATATTAGTACTGTAACAACAGAAGACAAAGGCCAGGCAACAGATCGTTTTATTACGAAAATCAACACGTATTATATATATTTTATGTACATTAATAAGGCTTATGCAAGCAGAAAAAGGCGGTCTTATGATTGGTTGTTTCTCGGAAGTTAAGCAGACAAATGCAGTCTTCTGATTGGTTGTTTTCGATATTTCTCGGAAAGTAGAGCCATCTATCTGCGAATCATATTTGCCCACGTTGAAGTTTGCTGTGACTGGTTGTTGAATCAGCCTAGATTAATGTCTACCAATCAGCGTAGATTAATGTCTACCAATTGGCTAGCAGCCTGCTCTCACCACACTCGTCCCCCGATCAAATAGCTTCGTACGCAGACGTTCCGACCTTCTGGGTGCTACATCCTCTAGTTGAGGATTGTTACTGATCGGCTTGTCCCACTGTACCCATCTTTGGAGCTGACTGGCATTAACTCGTTTCTGTTTGTCACCTCTTCGGATGGTATATACTTGACCCCGTCTTTTTGTGATTGTGTATGGTCCTTCACACTTTGGAAGGAGTTTCCGTGAACCTGGCCCGCCTCCAACTGTATATCTCCTGTCTCTACACTTCACTTGGTCCCCGACTGCAAAGGTATTGTAGGCCATTCGTTTGTGGATGATATGGGGTCGTTCTGATCCTCTTGATGCCCAGCTGTTGCAAACGGGAAGTAAACTCTTCACTCTCGAAACAGGGACCTTGGTCTGTCAGTATTGTCTTCGGTACGCCGTGGTCTGCAACAATGTGTCTAACTACTGCATCTGTCACGGTTCTTGCACGTTGGTCTGGGATTGCTACGGCGTCTACCCATCGTGTCGCGTGTTCCGTCATCACCAAGAGGTACTGATTACCATTGGATGTCTGAGGAAATGGACCCATGACATCTACGGACCACAAGTCACCTATCGCGGTAACTGGAATCGACTGAAGTGGTGGTCGTATGCACCGGTCACCTTTCATCAGCTGGCACCGTGGACATCCAAGTACGTATCTTGCTACGTCTTCTCTCATACCTGGCCAGTACATACTTTGTCTTAGGAGGTCGGTCGTTCTGGCCACGCCTGTATGCGCTAGCTGGTGACATTCTTCTATCATGTCGTGGCGCGACGATTGAGGTATGACAGCCAGCCAGCTTCCGTCGTTCTCTCGCCAGGTCAGAGTCCCGTAGGCATTCACTCTGAGTCGATCCCTCTGTCTGAGTAGTGTGGTTAGCTCCTTACTCGCCGTAGTTTGATCCACTTCTATTCCGTTGGTGATCACCTGTATTACTGTATTCAGCGTATCGTCCAACCTCTGCCTACGTGCAAGTCTTAGTGGGTCTTGTTCTACTGCATGCACTCCGTAAGCGACCTCGGGCAACTCAGACTCATCTTCTGGTCTCGATAACAAATCTGCCAAGACATTTTCACTTCCAGGAACGTGTGAGATCGTAAAATCGTACTCCTGAAGACGCAACATCCACCGTGACAACTTCCCCCGTGGGTCTCTCGCTGTCTTCAAAAATTGTAGCGGCTTATGATCAGTTTCGATGTGGAACCGCCGGCCGAGTAAATAAGGTCTCCATTTGTCGACTGCCCATACCATTGCTAAACATTCTTTCTCTATCGTTGAATACTTTCTCTCTGTGAGGTCAAAACCCTACTGGCATACTCAACGATTCCCTCGTCCTGTCTTAGGACCGCACCTATAGCGTAGTCACTGGCATCTGTGCACACTGTGAACTGTCTTCCTGGCACAGGTAGTTTTAGCGTCATTTGTTGGTGGTCGAGCAGCTGTTTAATTCTGTCGAATGTCCTCTGCGATTCTTCCGACCAAACAAACTTTGGCTCACCTAGTAGCCTGTATAGAGGGGCTGCTATCTCATTGAAGTTCTTCACGAAGCGACTATAAAACGCTGCTCTACCCAAGAATTGTCTCAGTTTTCTCTTTGAATTCGGGGCTGGAATCGTTTTAATCGTCAAAATTTTCTCCGGCAGTGGTTTAATCTCACCATTTCCCACTTTATGTCCCAACAGAGTAACATTCTTTTTGGCTATCTGAGACTTGGTTTTGTTGACGCGTAGTCCAAACTCTTCGATGCGTCGCAGCACGGCTTCTACATGGTTGACGTGATCGTTTTCGTTTTGACTGTATATGACGAGATCATCACCATAAACCTCCACGTTTTTCAAGTTCTAAGTAATAGCTTCATCAGTCGTCTGAACGTAAACGGTGCACCTGCTAGTCCAAACGGCATGCGTTTAAATCGATATTGTGTCTGACCCACGATGAAAGCCGTCTTATCTCTATCACCTTGTTTTATCGGTATCTGCCAGTATCCTGAGCGAAGATCGAGAACCGAAAACACATTCGCACCTTGTAGGCGATCTAAAGTTTCTACCACTGTTGGCATGGCACACGGTCTTAACTCTGTCATACTGTTTAACTGTCGAAAATCAACACAGAATCTATACTTCCCATTCGCTTTTTTTACTAACAGCACTGGAGAGTTGTACGGGCTATCAGCTTCCTCAATAATATCATCTTTTAACATCTCTTGCACTTGTCGCTCCACTTCGCCTTCCAGATGACATGGAACTCTTCGCGTTAAAAATGACCTTACTTTCGGATCACTTAACGGAATTTCATGATTCACCTTATCGCAATAACCGTATGGGTCGCCATCTCCAGTGAACAGATGATCGTATTTATTAATTAACTCTGTCACATTGTGTACCGTCGACAGCTTAATCGCTGCTATCTCGCTGGTCTCATACATGTTGATATGCCCGTATTTCGTGATCACCACGTTCGCTTGCGTGTCGATTATTGCACCAATCTCACGCAGAAAATCCGCTCCTAATATCGTTCGCTGTAGTTCGGGTACAACAATGAAAGGAAACGTCACCTCGCAGCCACCAACAACGACCGTACAGTTCGATCTACCCGTGATACGCAACACATACCCGCCTACTGTTTGTACTGTCAATGAACACGGACTAACACTCTTACATAAATTCTTATCTATTAACGACACGGCCGCCCCTGTATCTATCAAACATACTACTTCTCGATCATTCACTCGCAACTTCGAATACAGAGCCCCTTTCTCAATAGCCCCCACTAAATCTAGGTTCATACGAAAGAAAGAACAAGCATTATACCGTCTGAAATTTTTTCTTTTTCGCCTTTCTGGGCAGTATCTTCTCCAGTGTCCCGGCTTACCGCATTCAAAACACCGGTCTTTTCTATCAGCCAACTTTAACGCCGCCACTTCCCGCTGCAATGCTTCAATTTTCTGCTCATATTCGTTTGGTTTTGGTTGGTCTATAGCGGCTACCGTTGTGCTCAGCAGCTGTCTGGTCACCTTCGCCAGCTCACTAATATCCATCGGCTGCGTTGCGTTAACCAGTTGTAATCGCTGAGAAATGTGGTCTGGGACACTCTCGATGAATTGGGAAGACAGTAACTGCGCTTCTGATTCTTCATCTAAAGTGGGAAGCGCGCGTCGAAGTAGATTAGTCAGTTTCACCGCCAACACTAGCGGGTCTCCATCAGGTCCAAGCTTCATTGACCGGAACTGCTGCATTGCTAGCTGTCTGTCTGTTTCGCTGTCAAACTCGGACACTAGTCGTTCAACCAATTTCTTCCAAGACGCTGTGCCATTTGACCTGTCTACGCTGTCATATGCAGCCTTCGCTCGGCCTCTCAACAGCGTCCCCAGGACAACTGCCTTCGCCGCCTGCTCCTTGACACCCACCAGCTCAGCAACGGCCTCGAAGTCACGTAAGAAGCTCCGTATGTCTCCTTCTTCAAACGCAGCTGGCCACGGGATCTTCATTTTTGGAGGCAGCGACACCAAATGTAACAACAGAAGACAAGGGCTGGCAACAGATCGTTTTATTACGAAAATCAACACGTATTTATATATATTTTATGTACATTAATAAGGCTTATGCAAGCAGAAAAAGGCAGTCTTCTGATTGGTTGTTTCTCGGAAGTTAAGCAGACAAACACAGTCTTATGATTGGTTGTTTTCGATATTTCTCGGAAAGTAGAGCCATCTATCTGCGAATCATATTTGCCCACGTTTAAGTTTGCTGTGACTGGTTGTTGAATCAGCCTAGATTAATGTCTACCAATCAGCGTAGATTAATGTCTACCAATTGGCTAGCAGCCTGCTCTCACCACAGTACTAGCAAAAGTGATGGTTTATTGCCATTATTTTTTGATTGTAAAATTAATGGAAAAAAGCATTTGCAATTAGTTGTATTCTCTGAGCTGGTTGGTTTAATTGCAGGGCTTTCGTCGTCCTCCTAGACAACATCTTCAGTGCAAGTTTTAGCATCAAATGTGAACTGATTGTAATTCTCCATGAATGATAGAATTGCGCCTCCTGGTAACCATCTTTGTGACTGGTAGTCAATTTACATCTGTACTGATCATTTTTTATTGATTCGGATTTTGAACTTTCTCGTCACATGATTTACTTTTTATTAGTTGGTAAATTTGGTCTATATTAACAAGTTTGTTAATTGCATATTCGTTTGTGTACCAGGCTTCTAGGAATTCTCTGTCCCTTTTGATATTTTCTCTGTCTAAAATTTTCACATTATCCCAATCAAAATGATGTCCGTAATTATCCACATGCATTGATATGAAAGAATATATATATATATATCAAGTCTTTTCACAGCTAATCTGTGTTCCTGGATTCTGATTCGAAGGGGACGCCGACTTTGGTCGATGTAAAGCATTCTTATGAAAAGACAGAACTTACAAGTGGCCATAATTGAAAAAAAACTAAGTTCTACAGACTCTAACTCACACTGTATCTACAACGAGCTCACCTGCCGTTGCATGTGTGGGTATATTTGGGTATACATAGTAGAATGTTCCGATTCAGTCCGAAAGAGGGAAATTTCACTACACCTTCCTTCCTTCAAATAATAAATAGCAACCACAAGAGCAAGCATTGATGTATGACGCTGTATACTGTTGAGAGTAGATGGACATTACTCAAATCAACCAGTGGTGTTTGCTAGTCATATCGAAAAGAGTTAAACATCGTGCTGAGTGAATTACAAATTGTGAATTTGATTTAAAGTATTATCAGTTCGTCCAAATTGCTGGGCGGAATTTCCGTTGTGGGGACTGATTTAGTTCTCTGAACTGAATCATATCGGGCATACAAATGATGAGCTCGACTCCGATTCGAGAGAAATAGTCATACATCGTCCAGTGATTAAATCAATTTGATATGCCCAGCAAGCACTACTGGTAGATGTGACTGGTGTCAGACTACTACTCATATCTATCAGTCAGTAGTATGTATCGTCATCCACTTAAACAAGTGATTTGAACATCACACAGAATATTCGAAATGTGCCTAATATTGATCAAAGTTCAGCATATAATTACAAAATTATTTATGAATGATAACGGATAAAAGTAATTTCTTAAAAATTTCACACAATCTTAAAAGATATTATTAATAGTGACGGAAAATCCACGATTGATTACACGTTTCCACATTATACGTAAAAAAATAAAGTGTCAATCTGCTAATAGATCGAACTATTTACCGTATTATATTTAAGAGATTAGCGTGATTTTATCTCATATATTAAATATTGTCAAATATTCCATTAATTCCATCGTAAAAGTAGGGAAATTGTACCTTCTAAAGTCGAATTTCTCTGAAGCGATAAAAACCAGTGGTGTCCATCAGATATAGATCCGCTAGTGGATGAAATTCTGATCAACTTTACCGACATGGAAATTGATTCCCTACCGAAAAATATTCTCGTCGATAAAAATTATGCAGACGATATTATCTTTGACAAAATGCAGAGTCCGCTAAACACTTTGAAAAAAATCCTCATATGCTTGTCATGTGTGAATCGCTCGTCAAATGTAAGACAATAGCGTACAGGACTAATTGGCACCGACTACTAGTTGGAATATAGGAATAGAGGTGATTGAGCACATTTACCTCACTTCTTTGGAGAATTTTACAGGCCCTAGTGAACTGACAAAGCTAACTTGACGAAATTTCAGCATGCATACAAACGGCACGTTCGAAATTTTATAACTTACACCATCATTGGAGTAGATGTGATATCCGGTTATCGATCGAGGGATAAGTGTATTGCGTAGTAGTTCTCTCTATCCTTCTTATAACTTAGACGTGGCCACTGAAAGTAGATGGAAGGATGCTAGCTGCCTCTGACCACAGATGTTTATGTCGTATCTTTCATATTAAGTGGTACGATATTGTCAGTAATACTGAGGTTAGGCATTGTGTTAGTTAAGAAGGGCAAATCGACCGGTTATTTTGTGAGTTTACACAGATTCAAATGACTAGGACACGTTAAAGCCATCATCTTCCTTATCTAGCAACGTCAGCTGACATTTTATTGGATTAGAAAACACTTAAGGGTAATCAAAACTAAACAAAGAATCAACCCATTAAGTCTTGCACTGTTCGCCTCGGCCACGTAGAGAGATGCAAACTGTTCGACTGAGATCCTCCAGATTCTAAAAACAAGTAGTTGGAGACCATTGGTGACATGACCAAAAGTTTTTCTAATTCAGTCAATAAACTGCGTATAGCAGAGTTCTAATGAAAACCGAATTATGAATTGATTTCCACTTTCTTCATTACAAGATTTATTAGCCGAAACTGCAGAATATTTCCCCAAAACTTCTATGGCACTTGAGAAGCAGGATCAAGTTGAATAACCTGAAGTGTCGTCATGTGAAATCATTGAATAATGAAAGGTATTTTTATCTGCAAGAACACAGAAAACTCTAAATACATGTTTCTTATTTATGAAAGTATGGATGAGGCATTATTATTCACTGAGCAATTATTTTCAAAAAGTTAGACTACTCATTAGTAGTTCGCGTAGAAATACAAAAGTTTTTGATAAAAGTGCACCCAACATGAATAAACGATGTTATATTTGATGCCAAAGACCAAATGGATGTCATTGAGATATCAAAAATAAAATTGTAGGTGGAATCCGTATTACTATAGAAACCCTTTTAAGAGTAAAATCCGATGGTACATTTTAAAGACATGATGTATTCTACTGAATTCAACGAAATAATATAAACGCATCAGTAAAAGGGAATTATAAGCTGAAAAATGATGAATATTATTTTTATACTACACAGGGTCATTAAAATTAAATCACTTCAAATTAATAGTGTTGTTAAGGTAAATTTAGAAATGACATCTCGTAGTGGGCATTATCCACCTAATTGAAATAGGAAATACTGAAGACAATATATAATGGAGTTATACTCTTCCACAGTGCCCAAGTTTTATATCGACTTAAATCGACAATAAATTCAAATGGCGAAAAAATCATATGTCAATCTTTTAGAAATGCCTAGGCAACAAGGATTAGCTACAGACGATTATTTAAACGACTGACTCTTAATTACTAGTTCACAATTTCAAATCTGTTCATCTTTGAATTGTCGATATTAGATGGTTGGAGGTGATGAAGATTCCTGGCCAACACCAACAGCAACAACAACAGACAACAATCAGCATAAATTAAAGGAATCTGAAAGAAGCAACCTCCTTTACCTACCTACCTGAGAAGCATTGTTTCAACTACAGGCGGTCGGAACTGACCAGGATTTCAAATGAGCGAGGATCTCGAAATCAAAGCAAGCTTTCATTACTATCAAGTCTGTGTGGAGGTCAACAGCACTCAGCATGAAAAATAAAATCCAGATTTTCAACTCTAATGTGAAGTCACTGCTAATATACGGATCAGAGAATTGCCGCGTCACGAAGGCCACTTCAAACAAACTACAGACTTTGATGAACAGGTGTCTTCGCTCAGTACTACTCAAGATCAAATGGCCAGAAAAGATTAGCAACAGGGATGTCTGTCAATGAACGAACCAACCCAGCAGGAACAAAGTGTGCAACAAATACGCAGGAAGAAATGGAAGTGAAGTCGCCATACTCTGAGGAAACCACCAGGTGACAACATCACAAGATAGGCACTCGAGTGGAACCCGAATGGGAAGCGGTGAGTTGGTGGTCAGTGCGAAGGTGACATGGAGGAGGTAATCTGAAGAGGAGATGAAAACATGTGGGCAGACGTGGAGCCAGATGAAAACGTTGGCAGAGAAACCAGCGCAATGGAGATGTGCGACTGAAGCCCTATGTTCCTCTAGGAACTAAAGCAAACAATAATAATAAGACAGTTGGAGGCAATCGGAAGGAAGCCTTCGACCTAGGTTGCATGCTACTTTGCACTCATCAGTCATCAAGGCGTATCCGCAACCTTGAGATTCGAAGCCGGGTCACTTAGTGCTACAGTCAGAGACATTATCACTGGGCTGTTCGGGTCCACGATTGACCTACTGTAGGACTGTATTGGATACTATTCATCTGTATCAATTCTCACATTACAACTGACATTAGAAGTGAGACGACAAATATGACTAATCGGTTACACAGCGTTAAAATGTCTGTTTACTGAATTTTGACCAAAAGTTGTGCAATGACGGCTAGAAAAGTCCGATGCTTAAAAAGATGGAATAAATTCAATTTTAATTAGACAAATAATTTGCTTGTTAACTTATATCCATAGAAAATGAGATTTCATCAAAAACAACACTACTGAACTTACTTGTGAAGAAGGCGTACAGGCTGAAACATTCTGTAAAGCTGGTAAACAGTGACCTACACCAGTAGGTAGACAACTGTCACAGTTTAATGAATCTGTATCAGCTGACTGCAGATTAGAAATTCTGCAGTTTAATAAAGTTTCACAAACTTCATTAGAAGATGATTCGAAGTTGGAATTTTCTGGCGGCATGAGTAATGAATCATTGACAGCACTGTAAAGAAATACAGAAATATGAAACTGCACAACAATAGCAAAAATAAAGAGATCAAGGCCGAAAAAATTTAAAATTTCTGGGGGATTGAAGAACTTTCTAAAACTTATGGCATAGAATCGAGGGAATTGGAGGTGTACACATAGGCTCAGTTTGGAAAAGAGCCAGTGGTAGTCAGTCAAACCAAAACATGCAATCAGTCGAGATCCACAACAGTTAGATTGAGCCATGTAGGAAGATGTAGACTACCTAATTGGGGTCCTCGGGACGATACAAACCAATGAAGGCTGGAGACAATTGGTGATATGGCTAAAAATCGTTCTCCTTGTGACTTATGATTTCCAATGAAACTATATTGTTATTCGATATTACTATTCTTTTTGCCTCATATCTCTGTTTACTATCTCTATTTTGCGTTTCTTTTTCCTTTCTTCTCTGGCTTTGTGTGCCGAGTGAATTGAGGCGACTCGAACTGCTGTACATTGGTGCAAAGTTCTATGTTGAAACCAGTCAGACAGTCAGTGAGTCGGAGGTGTACCGCTGAAACTCTATATTTTACTGAGAACTTAAGGAATGTATCCTAAGAATAAGAATAAATCGTTGATAATTATACATTTAAGCAAATTAGTATATTCATTTCAGAAGAATGGGAATTATTTTATATTTTCAATAGTTGGTTTGTAAGGATTAGATTTGTTTTAACGAGTTGATCACGGATCGATATCAGTTAGATAACAATTGAAAACCAACACGGGGGTACTGGACAGCTGCTGTTTCATCCTAGTTTGGAAATCAACGTAAAAACAAACTGTTATGTACTCGTCGCCAAATTATTGTTATGTACTGGTCGAGAATTTAATAGTCCTGACGCAAGAAAGACGAAAATCAGAAGACCATTAGGTTTGCGATGATACTTCTATTTTCCAAACACAAGGAGAATCAATGTGTCACACAAGAGTGTGAGAGCGAAATATATAAGAATGTCCAAACAAGTGTGGGAATATTAAAAAAAAAAAAAATTAAATGATTAAGAATACTTAAACAAAAAATAAAACAAACCAACTATTGAGAATTAATCTGATGCTCAGCCACTAGTCCCGGTGGCTGAATGGTATACAAGGTTGCCTTGTAACCCGGAAGGCCCTGGGTTCGAACCCTGGCAGTAGGTGGGCACTGCCGATGATTCCCAAACTAGGATGAAACAGCTGTCCAGTACTTCCTGGTGGTTTTCAATGGTTCTCTAAGTGATATCAATCCGTGATCAACTTGTAATTATTTTATAGTAGGCCACTATAAACCTGTTCACCTTTTGAAATCTTATTGTCTATAGGCTTAACACTAAACAATGATCGTTGAGTAAATAAATCACACCACTGATTTGAGAGTAAAACCAATTTATTTGGCTCCTATCAACCATATTGTACAAAGTGAAAATGCATACACATATCCATAAGAGCGAATCGCCAAAACTGATACTTTTTACTGAACTTATTGAACTTCTTTTCACATATCCATTCTTCGACGGCTTGTTTAAATCACTGGGATACCCGAATTTTCACCCATTAAAATGCATAAACTCTTCTGCATTTTTTATTGTTTTAATCATACCACTAACTCAGTTGGTCACTCCGCGAACTCATGCACATATTTAATTGATTTTCAACTAAACGCTGTACAATTCTTGAAGGAAATAAATAAACAATGCATAGAATGGATTCTCTCTTCCATATGCCACAACAATATGTCACATGAAACACTTCAGATTACTACTTGACATGTAAATCTTGTATAAAGACAAAATATTTCGGAAATAAAACGCTGAAAATTCCTCTGTTATATGAAAAAGACACAAACAGCGAAGAAAATTTTCCCTTTTCGACGATTCATTTTCATCAGCTGTACAATCGTAAATATTTATTTAACAAAGAAATGTTTTTAGACCAATCAAATACTGGTAAACTTTGTCCTTGAAAAATTGTATTACATAATGTAAGGTGTAAGAAGGGATGACTAATTGTAAGTCAGAAAAGAGACAAGATACCGCTTTTGGTCACTTCAATGTGTATTTATCAATTTACTTACTCGTGTGGAGCAAAGCATATCGGCCGTACGCAACGTCAAGTCCACAAACATATTCTGGAACACTGCCCAGCTTGGTTAGTCAGAGGAGAAAAGAAGAATAGCAGCAGCTCTATCCTCGAACACCTTGTCATCTCCGGACGTCGAGCAACCTCACATGAATGCTTCACAGTGACTCACAGAGTCCCTCAACATCGTACAAAGGGACTTCGGCTACGCCATCTGTACATAGCTGAAGCATTAGCTATTCGGGATCTGAAACCGGACCTCTGCATCCAAGGGCGATACATTCTCTCGCCCTACCATGGTCAGAGTAAATTTCTTACTACAATTTCGCTTCTTTCCTTCATTATGTAAGTTCCCCATTATTATTATTATTATCACCATTATTATTATTAATACTTTTGTTATCATTATTATTCCCATCATTCACATTTTACTACCCACTCTATTACTGTTTATTAATAACATCGCTTTTCATACAGATTTTATACAAAAACACTTTATCACCTTTCCACTAGTTCCTGTTCATTCTACACGAGCTTATTGATTAGTCATTATATCTCACCCTTATTACGTCATGCCAACTTCTGTCTCTTTTCTAACTTACAATTAGTCATCCCTTCTTACACCTTACACTATGTAATACAACTTTTCAAGGACGAAGTTTACCAGTATCTGATTATTATTATTATTGTTCCCTTGGGTTCCTAGTGGAACATAAGGCTTCAACTGCACGTCTCTACTTACTTCTGTCTTCTGCTGCAGTTTTCACTTACATCCATGTTAGTCCACACTGGTTAGTGATCATTCATATGTTAAATTAATGTGGTCGTGAAGTATTGTTGTCTAACATAATGAAGGATTTACACTCCACCAGATGAGTATCTGATTGGTCTAAACATTTCTTTGTTAAATATAATTAGGATTGTACAGCTCATGAAAATGAATCGTCGAAAAGGGAAAATTTTCTTCGCTGTTTGTGCCTTTTTCTTATGACTTGATATGGGAATATTTCGTTCATTGAAGAACTCCTCTATTATATGTTCACAAATTGTCTGAAATAAAGCTTTATTAGTAGTAGTGTAGTGAGAGCAGGCCGTGAGAAAATATGTACAAGGCTGATTTAACAACCAATCACAGCAAAGTTAACGTGGCAAAATATGATTCGCAGATAGAGAACTCTATTTGTCGAGGAATCCCTAAACAACCAATCCGAAGCCTGCGTTTGTCTCCTAACTTCTGATAAACAACCAATCAGATGACTGCGCTTGTCTACTTGCATAAGCTGTAATAATGTATGTGAAATATATATAAATACGTGTTGACTTTCATAATAAAACGATCTGTTGCCTGGCCCTTGTCTTCTGTTGTTACAGTAGTAGTATTATCAGATAGGTATTCGATAGCATGGGTTTTCTCAATCAGCTTTCCATTTTTTAATGAATTTTGGGGGGTTATGGCGTATAACTGGCTAGTTCAGTGTCGAACTGTAAGTTGGAGTAATTCAAATTAGAGTCCAAAGCAGTGATCTGTCCAACAATTATGCTTGAACCAGAATTCAAATACATCCTAATTTGATTGCACGGAAGATTTCATCATGAGCTGACATCAGTTAGAGAACCACTGGAAAACCTGGGAGTACTGGACAGCTGTTTCGTCCCTGTTTGGGACCCTTCGTCAGTACACACCCACCGAGGTCCGAACCCAGGACCTTCTGGTTACAAGTCTAGCTCGTAGACCATTGAGCCACTGGGACCCGATCCGATGGTTCTTGAATTCTAACTTCTGCCAATTCACGACATAGCTCGACCACTTCGCAATGTCTTCTTCGATGAGTTACTTCCTCATCTTCAACCTGATGTTCCCTACTGGTCACGGCTTCCCACTAGATCAATATTTCGGCTGAAAAAAAAGGAAGATTGAATAAACCTCAGTTTTTGTCTATTTTCTAAACTCTACAGAGAATTGTCACCTATTACACAAAACAAACAATCGCCAGATTTTAATCCATTTGGGTAATGACTCAGTTATGATGCATTTTACTGCACAACTGAATAGTAGACGTTTTAAACTGGGAAATATGAGTAATATCTCTTTAAGTAACAGATAAATGCTGCAGAGAAATCTTAGTAACAAAAAATTCCACTTACAGCATTAACCGACTTATTTAAATACACAATCACAAAAAATTTGTCACAAACTCACTCATCCTCCAGACTGAATGATAACTGTGTGTTAGCCGGAGTTGGAGTGGATTGATGCACGTGATCTTCAGGATTTAAATTCAAGCCTTCTGATATATGCATACATTCATAGAATTGAATTTCTGGAGATCTGTAGTGATCATCATCTTCAGCGTTGACGTTTAAGATATTTACCCGACTGGAACATTTCAGTGGACTACTGGTAATATGATTGCCTAAGTCAGTATCAAGTTGGAAACATGCAGCATTCCTAGCAGACAGTGCAGCATAAGAAGTAGATGGCACTAAGTGTTCAGTGGAATACGTCTTCTAAATATGCGACAGAAAATAGAGATACACATGGAAAATGAGCAATCGCATTTAGACAGAAACGAATTAAGTGAAAGTAGGCAGAAAATAAGTAAATCGAGTGTAAATCCTTCATTTGTAACTCAACGCTTGTCTACTGACATTACTTTAACACATGAATGATTACTAATCAGATATGTAGTTCGTAATTGCATTACACCCTGGCAGCATGTTTCTTTATGTATATGAGATCCATAAAAACTCACAGTTACCAGTTAAAAGAAAATCAGCGATGTGTGCTAGAGAAGCCTAATATCAGCACTGTTATTTGATTTTACCACAAATGTGTCGATGAAAGTGAATTTACATGATTTCCGGGAGTACTAGGCAGCTGTTTCATCCTGCTTTGGGACTCTTCATCAGCATGTACCCAGTGGTGGGGTTTAAACCCAGGACCTTCTGATTACAAAGCCAGCTCCCAGGTTTTCTAACTGATGTCAACTCTCTTAATCGAATGTGTAACCGATCAGATCCTTGCAAATCAACGCTTGATAATTTTCGTGTTTATCTACCCGATGTGAGCAACAGAATAAAGCCATCTGTGAGCATAAGTTGGTTAGTTTCGAGAACCAATAGAAAACCAGCTGGGAGTACTGGACAGCTGTTTCGTCTTAGTTTGGGACCCTTCATCAGTACACACCCGTCGACAGGGTTCGAACCCAGGACCTTCTGGTTACAAGGCCAGTGAACTCGTAGACCATTAGGCCACTGTGACCCGACAATGACCAGTCTATGAATTCCAGCTTCTGCCAATTCACAACAGAGCGCGACCGCTAGCCAATATCTTCGACGAGTATTTGTCTTCACACCCAACCTGCTGTACCCTGCTGGTCATGACTTATCACTAGAACTCCAGATAACTACTTATGGTTCTCCAAACGATGTCAGCTCATGATGAAATCCTGTAACCAATCAATCGAATCCCTACAAACCAATACTTGAAAACCAATGAGATGCTCACTAGCAGTTGGTCCTATTCAGGTAGGTAGCTACCTCGGTTTCTAGTGGGAAGTCGTAACCAGCAGGGTGCAGCAGCAGGTCGGGTGTGAGGACAAATACTCGCCGAAGACATTGGCTAGCGGTCACGCTATGTCATGAATTGACATAGGCTAATAGTCAAAAATGATCATAGATTATTTATAGAAATGTATTCACTTAAAAAGAAGTGAAAATTGAGAATAGACAGGCTTACTTCAATGGTATATAAGTTCATCTGAGGTTGTGTATCCACTTGTGAATGGTGTATAGATTGTGTAGGAAGGTCATGATTTACTTCATTATTTGATGAAGTAATGAATTCGGCTAAGGGAAACGAACAAAGGAATAGAAGACAACTTTATGAATCATTTATAGAAACGTAAAGTACAACCAAAGGAAACAAGACAAGTAATGGAAAATAACATAACTACATACACACACACACACAAAACATGTTAACCGTCTCAGGAAACAATCCTGTTGACACTGAATCATTATTATGAAATAAATTTCAAAAAATGGTATGAACAGTATTGCAAACAGCTACCCACCCAATCAACAACTCAAAGGGGTAATGACGAGTTGTAACTAACCGTATACACATTCAAATTGTGAGGACTTTGTACTTCAATGTTCATCAGTGAAATTGATATATGTATAAAACTTGGGCACTGTGGTAGAGTATAACTCCATTATGGATAAGATTTTATTTTGATAAATCACACATTGTTGTACAGTAATATTAACTGATGACCTCTCCACTGCCTTCTGTTTTCTGCCAACTTTTTCACTCCTCTCCAAGTCTGCCCACATGCCTTCATCTCCTCCTCACATGACCTCCTCCAAGTCACCCTCACACTGACGACCAACTCGCCGCTTCCCTTTCGGGTTTCCCTCGAGCGATGGCTTCTCTAGTGATGTCACTTGATGGTTTCCTCAGTGTATGGCCAGCCAATCCATCTCCATTTCTTCCGGCCTATTTGTTTCACAATCGGTTCCCGGTTGGTTCGCTCATTGCCTGATATATATCCATATAATATGTGTGTTTGTTTGACAGTCTGATATATTTTGCTATGTATATATGGATCGATATTCCATTATAATTAGCCAATCATGTTAAGACTGTCTATTGATTTGTTCATTTTGAATATTTGCTCACACACTTGTTTGGACATTCTTATATATTTTGCTCTCACACTCTTGTGTGACACATTGATTCTCCTTGTGTTTGGAAAATAGAAGTATCATCGCAAACTTAGTGGTCTTCTGATTTCCGTCTTTCTTGCGTCAGGACTATTAAATTCTCGACCAGTACATAACAATAATTTGGCGACGAGTACATAAAAATTTGGCGACGGGGAAAACTATGGATCCTTCTAAATTGGAATTACTATTTGAACGACAAATGAAATTAATGGAAATGTTCGTCAACCAACAGACTGGTCCAACTTCACCTTCAAGCAATCTGAATCATACCATGCTACCATCTGTCGACGGCATTGTGAATAGTATTTCACAGTTCAATTATAATCCAGATGCGAATGTCACTTTTGACATATGGTATCAACGATATGAGGATTTATTCACAGTTGATCTCGCCTCATAAGACGATGCTTGGAAGGTGCGAGTGAAAGACACACACCTGGTCGAATCAACAACTTCGAGAAGCTCTGATATTCATGCATTACGAAAGAGCAAAAATCTCTCATCATCCAGTCCTGACCCACCTACTTCTTCTAATGTTCCGCGGAAATCTACACATACTCGTCCAACTTCACAAAGTACTGCAAAGAAGACCCCACCATCACCATGCTGGCATTGTGGCGCGTGGCACTTTGTAAAGTCTTGCCCATACAAAAATCATCGTTGCAGCAAGTACAAAATCATCGGTCATAAAAATGGTTTTTGTCAGCCACGCAAACTCAGATATCAAAATCCAGCGAAAGCTCGACAAACGGTTGGTCCTAAATCTCCAAGGAGATCATTGAGTCTACTCGCAACCTGTCAAGTCACAACACCAGCTATGCGGAAATATATTGACCTTCAAATGAATGGTCATGACACACGTCTGCAGCTAGATACCGCCTCTGATATTACTGTTATATCAGAGAAAATTTGGAATAATATTGGCAGACCACCAATCGCAAATACTTCCCAGTCTCTTGTCAGCGCCTGTGGTGGGCGGCTCAAACTAATTGGTGAACTCAAATGTTCTGTTTCCTTCCGCAATACCAAATTCACAGGAATTTGCTACGTCATCAAGAGTGATTTAAATCTTTTGGGACTTGATTGGTTCGATCGTTTGCATCTGGCTGATGTTCCACTAAATTCGCTATGCAATGCAGTCAAGAAGCATAAAATGTCAGACAATTCCGGACGAAGCCGAAGCCGCAAAACCAACAGGCAGACGAAGCAACAGACGTCAACAACAAGCTCAACGGTTCCAGATAAACCCCCGGGAAAACACGCTACTAATCATTAATCTTCTCAAAAGGGGAGGTGATATATATCCATATAATGTGTGTTTGTTTGACAGTCTGATATATTTTGCTATGTATATATGGATCGATATTCCATTATAATTAGCCAATCATGTTAAGACTGTCTATTGATTTGTTCATTTTGAATATTCGCTCACACACTTGTTTGGACATTCTTATATATTTTGCTCTCACACTCTTGTGTGACACATTGATTCTCCTTGTGTTTGGAAAATAGAAGTATCATCGCAAACTTAGTGGTCTTCTGATTTCCGTCTTTCTTGCGTCAGGACTATTAAATTCTCGACCAGTACATAACAATAATTTGGCGACGAGTACATAAAATTGCCAGAGATCCCTGACGCTGAAAATTCCATACCTGTACCACAAATACCGTTTCGAATAAAGCTATTATTATTATTATCTCTTCTGGCTGGCCATCCGATCTTGAGTATTGAGCGAAGACAACTGTTAATGAAGGTCTGAAGTTTGTTGGAGATGCTCTACATGACACGCAGTACAAGCCTCTGATCCGTACAGTAGCACTGACTTCACATTTGAGTTGAAAATCCGGATCTTAGTTTTGATGCTGAGTGATGTTGACTTCCACACAGACTTAAGGGTAATGAAAGCCTGTCCTGCTTTTCCGATTTTGGCTTTGATATCCTCGTCAGTCCCTTCCGCCTGTAGTTGAAACGGTGCTTCCCAGGTCGGTGAAGGAGGTTGTTTCTTTCAGGTTCCTCCCATTTATGCTGGCTGATTGTTGTCTGTTGTTGTTGCTGCTGTTGGTGTTGGCCAGAAATCTTCATCACCTCTGTTTTATCTATGTTCACTTGAAGTCCTATCTTTCATGCTTCTTCTGCCAGCTTGTTGCTTTTCACTTGCATATCTTCCAGTTTGTGGGAAATCAGACATATATCATCGGCGAAGTCCAGATCCTCTAAGTTTTTTGTGTGAGTCCATTTTATGCCTGTTTTCTCATTGCGCGTTGTCTGTCGCATTATCCAGTCCACTGCTTTTTTCTAAATTACTTATCTTCTCTCGGTCAACTATTCTTACCTTGGCTAAATTCTTATGTTCCGACAGTCTGATTTACCCCGATCTACTAGTTTGACCTATGTAGTTGACCTCACAGTCATTGCAGGGTATTTTGTAAATTATATTATAACTGGGTCAACAGGTCCTTTAACCTACAGAGCTTGTCTCTGAGTAAGTTTGTAGGTTTGAATGCCACCGTAATTCCTGCTTTATTAAGAATCCTACATAGGGTCTCAGATGTTCCCTTCTTATATGGTATAGCAGTGGATGACTTATATTCTCTCTTATTTATGTTATCATGTACAACACTGCGTGATATATCAAAATAAAATCCATAAGGGATTTATCAGTAAAAGTAAACCGTCAGAAGAAAACTTCATGATAACATACCTATTTCTGATTCCGATCGTGTAGGCGTCGTTGGTAACTTCGGTGACTGTAAATTACTGACAGATAAATACTCAATACTACACGGTCCATTTATAGATACTGAAGGATTCGATTCATCACCGATTCGTAAGTTTTGACGTATAGGTAGGATAAGAGACTGAGGTTTCAACAGCTGTTCTTTAATTGTATTCGACAGAAACGAACGATTTTGATGCATTCTAGAAGGACAAAACCATACAAAGTAAAAATTTATTTATTTATCCAAAAAACAATTATGGATTATCTGAAAATTACAATAAATTCTGTGCTAGAAGAAGGAAAACACAACAAGTGTGTTTTACGTCATACTTCGAGTTAAATTACTTCCGTAATAATCTGACCAATTGTTTGATTTGTATTATTTAAATATATATAAAGATACTCATAATAAACAGATTCATTCCTCAATGCACAAACATTTCACAGGTATCATTAAGCGCAGATAATACACACTTTAAATTTACTATAATACATGAAAATGGTCAACTCCAGTTACACACTTCTCTGTACGTAGTTCGGTAAACCTAAAGATCTACAAGTGAGAACCAATGAGTTGGCAGAAGAGCCAGTCGAAACAGGAATTCAGGTGTATATAAAGAAGACGCAGAAGGCGAAGATACCCGACCAAATTACAACAAACACCAATCACTACCAAGGGAAGAAATCTTACTTAAGCAGCACCACCTCACTTACAGGCGACAGGGATTAGGATGTGTTCAAGCCAGTGAGGAGTGAGGAAGCAAAAGAGGCATTCACCACTCGGAAATCAGTGTGGAGAACTACAACATTTGGCATAAAGAACAAGAACCAAATTTCCAACACTAACATCAAGTCACTGTGCTTCTGTATGCTCCAGAGACGTGCACGTTACCAAAGGCAATTCCAACAACCAGTCGTCGATTGATACTGATGATTAGATGACTGACCAAAAAGGATAAGCAACATGAAACTACAGAAAACAGTTATGTTTGTGCAATTTAGGTAAGCCGTGCGTGTGCGGCGTTGTAGAACCAGATGGGTACAGTTGTTCGTATAGTTTTGAACTGATAATGGATTCGTCTTTCATTTTCTTCAATATCTTTGTTAGCTGGAGCTCCGTCTGTTCGGTGGGATCTTTCTGTGGAGAATGTTTCTGAAACTTTTTATCATAAGATAGTAACACCGAGAGTTTGCTTAGGTAGTCTGATTTGTTCATCAAGACGATTCCGGAGCCTTTATCTGGTCGTGTGATGATCAGTTTTCATTATCCTTCAATTCTTTCAGTTGCTTTCGATGTTCTTTGGAAAGTACGTTACGAAGGCTTGGTTTTTTGTAGATGTAATCGAGGCAGCAATTTAAAATTTAAATTCTCGAATTGGACTTTCGTGTTCAGTTCATTCACTTTTGACATCGCATCACAAAACTTAGGTCCAAGTGCTAAGATTTGCATTTGAATTGGAGACAGTGGAATATCAGAATAATTGTACACGTATTTTTCTGGACAAGTAGGGAAGACGGTTTCTTCTGTAACGGACTTTAGGCTTTGGTTTAGTTTTATTATAACATCATCTCTTTTTTTCTTTGTAACCGTATTGGAGTAGTTTTCGAATGATGTTCTTTCGTCTTCAGATAACTCATAGAGAACGTGGGAACTTCTTGAGATATTCTGCTCTAGCTCAGTTAGTCTTGGTCGCACTGCATCGACGTGATTCAGAGTGTGTCGTTTCAGTGTACGTGAGTTAGGGGATATGTGATTTCGTTTGAGATGCTTCCAAAATACTTTGGGATATTCATGTTCCTCGAGACAATTCTTCAAGAAGAAAATCTTTGCATTCGCTTCAGCAAGCTTGACGAACAAACGTAGAAACTTGTTCAGTCCCTTTACCGTCGAACGGTCCTTGCTTCTCTTGAAATCACGGGATATACATATTGGGTCATAGGTGACACTATCTGATGATAAAAAGTTTCAGAAACATCTCCACAGAAAGATCCCACCGAACAGACGGAGCTCCAGCTAACAAAGATATTGAAGAAAATGAAAGACGAATCCATTATCAGTTCAAAACTATACGAACAACTGCGCCCATCTGGTTCTACAACGCCGCACATGTACGGCTTACCTAAAGTGCACAAACAAGAAGACAGTTAATTTGCCAAAAACATATTACAGATAGACTGGACACCCACTGAGGAGACCGTTAGTGCACCACACAGTAGGCCTTCGAGTGGAAACCGAACGGAAAGCAATGGGTCCACATATTCTGCTGACTCCTTATACGCATGATAAAATTGAAATGTATACTGTCATTAAATGAAGAAAGTAATGGGTAATTTTAAAGGGAAAAGCTACAATGCCTCAAATTTTCAGGTTTTTCAAAGAGTTTTCTGAGAAAAATAAAGATATAATTCCTTCTGGATAACGAACATTCAATTTCTCTTAAATTGCCAAAAGTTTTGCTCAACTATATTATGAATATTACTGTGGTTGACAACACAGTAATATTGATATCTACATCATCATCAACACCATGGTTTAACATTAAAATCAACAAAAAAAGTGGATCAAAAGTAAAGATCCTACCAACTTTGTAAAGAAGTATATCTACGAAACTACACATAAAATCAAGCGAGACACAGTAAGTAAGAAAAAGCTTTACTTAAATGTACAATTCAAAGGGGATATATCCAGTGATATATTAAACCGTAGATTAACGAGATCAATTGAAAGAACTTTTGATGCCGCAAAATTGCATGTCAGTTTCTCAACCAAACCGATATTGACACTGTGCATTAAAGATAGATTACCCAAAATGGCGACATCAATGTGTGTATATAAATTCAACTGCTCCTGTCGAGCTAGTTATATAGGTCGTACCCAAAGGAATTTATCTTTACGCACTCGTGAACATATTCCTGTTTGGCTTGGGCAAAGAGGAACTAAATCATTAAATAGTGGAATTCTGTCTCATCTAGTGGATAGCAAACAAAGTAGATGAGTCATTTACAGTTGTGTATCGAGTACCGAACAATCTCCCCAAAGGCACACGATTACGCCTCCTAGCCATAGCTGATGCTTTAGAGATTAATAGAGAGAGAGAGACCAGACCTATGTGTACAGAAAAAAATTATTCACTCTCTTTGTCTACCCTGGCCCACTATAAGGTCACCAGGATCATAATTTTTCGTACTATTATTATCATTTTGTGATATCATGTCTTTATTATCCATTTCTCCATCCAGTTTATTTCACCTCATTGTTACCCTTATTTTTTGCCAACCTTTATGATTTTATACTAAGCCTACCAATTCTGTAGCATCTTATTGCAATTTACAATTTAGCCTCTTTATTTTATCATTAGACATTATCGCCAACCCTCACATCCAGTGCCTCCTTTGTTAATGTGTCTTTGCAGGCATTTTGTGGTTATCGCATTTTTCTCACCCGAAGGACACTTGTATTATGTTAACTATAAAACAACACTATATCACCCAATTGTTCATTCACACTTCATCACATTTTTCTGACTAAACACCCTATACACATTTAATTGACTATATTGACTAATGGACTATCACCTCAACTTACACATGCACCCCAATACAGTTTCTGATATTATTTTCATTTGCCTTTATTGGCTATATGTACTCTACTATTCATGGATCTATAATAGTACAGCCTGAAGAAGAAGTTATCGAAAACAATTGATCGCTCAAAATCATGTTTTGATTTCAATATGGGGATTTTTCATTTACTGAAAACAGACTGTCAACACGTGAAAAGTAAGAGTCTTATCTGTCACTTAACTACCTCATTTTGTACGTAAAGCAACCCCTTTACTGTTTAGTAGTTGACATTATATCACATTTCATATTTTTAAACACACCTCCCCCCGCCCACTGATTGAAATGAACAGATTGTGTTAGACAGACAGCTGTTACAGAAAATAGGATACATCACCTGACCAAACAAAAACAATCCTAAGCGATCATGAAATTAAACATTACAAAAGAATGTTAGCTTACAAAATACATTTTCTTGTACAAAAGCTACCAGATCGTAGAAAAAGAATAAAAATATTTTATGCTAAAGAAAAATCCCAATACACGCACACACACACACACACGCCAACATTACACATGTTAAGTAACCACTCTTTCTCTCCCTCTCTTTCAATAAATAATCCAACATGCTTCGTTCACATATGGAAGAAATTGTACTTTAAAATAATGTACGCGGTGAAATAAATTCCTATTTATTTTAGTTCAAAAAGACACTCTACAAATAAAAAAACATGTGATTCTATACATTCATACAAGTTTGAAAAAGAGATTTCTCACCAACAAAGACATAAATCCAAATGCATTCGCACAAATAAAATTAATTATAATCACTTCAAAAAATTCAGGGATTGACTTGCTACTAGGGTATAATCTCTTTGACTTAGAATATGCAGACGATATAGTCCTTCTAGGCGAAGACGCTGACAAAATGCAGAGTCTTCTGAACACCTTCACCTGCAATCTACGAATGTTTGGCATGCCATTCGCTCCCACCAAATGTAAGATGATGTTACAGGACTGGACCACACTGACTCCCAGTTTAGAAATAGGGAGTGAAGTGGTAGAGCATGTTGACCGCTTCACTTATTTGGGAAGTACCAACAGCCAGTGACAATGGGTTGATCTCTGACAAAATCTCACCACGGATACAGAGGGCTAGTTTCGCATATCCCAGTTTACGCCGTCTCTGGCTTAGTAGACGTGATATCCAACCAGCTGTCGACCAAAGGGCGGGTGTACTGCTCAGCAGTCCACTCCGTCCTCCTTTATGACTAGCTGTGGGACCTGGCCATTGACAGTGGAAGACATGAAAAGCCTGGCTAACTGTCTTCAACCAGAGGTGCCCGCGTTCTATCTCCCGTATGAAGCGGCATAATAAGGTGAGCAATATTGAGGTTGGGCGTCGTGTGCTAAGTAAGGAGGGGAAATCAATCGACGAGGCTGTGAAGTTACATCGATTGAGATGGTTAAGACATGTGTTAGGTATGCCTAGTCATCGCCTCCCTCGACCGACGGGTAATGTTAGCTGATATAGGGTCAGGTTGGAAAAGAGCTAGCGGTGGTCAAACCAAAACATGGCCTCATCAGTCAATGAAATCCACAACAATTAGTTTAAGCCAGTCACATGGGAAGGTGTAGACTTCCTGGTTGGGGTCCTCGGAACGGTAAAAACCAATGGTTGGAAGCAGTTGGTGATATGACTTAAAATCGCAGCGCAGATGCATCCACTCCTTGTGACTTATGATTACCAATGAAACTATACTGTTCTTCGTTATTACTATTCCTTTGTCTCACACCTCTGTTTACTGTCTCTATTATGCATTTCTTCTACTTTCTTCTCTTGCTCTGTGTTACATGGAGTGTGGTGACTTGAACAGGTGCACATCGGTGCAAAGTTCTATGTCGAAAACAGACAGACAAACAGATATCAAAAATTTTAATCCGTGGTTAATATTATCTAATGTCTGTATATCACATTCAAAATCCTTTGGATAACAGAATTCTGATGAATAAATTTATTAGTTGATATACGTTTCATAGTAATAACCACTGGTGCTTAGTTTAAGGACAGGAATTGAGATACGTTGAATGCATTTATCATTACCTTTATTTTGGGAGTTGTTGTATAAGCCCTGACGAACTGATTGTTGACTAAATTCCGACTCGAATACAAAAGCATTGTGTGACATTAGCTAATTTACATCATCTGTGGCGCATAGACGTGATACTCGTTTATTGATCAAAGGGCGTGTGCAGTGTGCAGCAATTCGCTCTATTCTTCTTTATGGCTTTTAAAAGTGCGAGACTTGAAGAGGTTAGACGTTCCTGACCGCAGATGTTTAATGCTGTTTCGCTTATATTAAGTGGTATAAAATAGTCAGCAATATTGAGGTGTTAAGCGTAAAGTGTTAGATAGGGAAGGCAAGTAAATCCATCCGATTTTGAGATTGAATCGATTGAATAGGCTAGAACACTTGTTAAGCATGCGAAGCCGTCGTCTTTTCTATAGAGCAAATGTTGGCTGACATATAAAATTGGGTTGAAAAAGACTTAAGGGTAATAAAAAGAAACCTGAAATCAATCCATTCAGTTGGTCTGGGCCACGTAAGAGCATGTAGACTGCCTGGTTGTGGTCCGTGAAACACTATAAGTCAGTTGCTGGAGCCTGTTAATGATACGAGTCAAAATTGCTCTGACTGGCTCAGATGTGTTCTCCTCCTTCTCCTTACAATTATTCTTGATTCCCTGTTATGTACTGGTCGAGTACATTTCCATGTAGTGTAGTTTCTTAGCAATTTTGTTCGCTATCTGTATATATACTTTCCGGAGCGTGGCAACTTGAATTGCTGCACTGACTGAGTTTACCCCGGATCACAGATATTGGTATTGTCTTATATCGTCAAGTCGCTAATAGGAGTGTTTTCTATAGACTTTTTCATCATCTACTGTTTAATTCAGTTGTTCATTAAACGTTACTAGTTGTGGGTACTCCTTTTTTATGTGACTTAAATATGGAACGAATCCATAAAGGCAGGCATAATTGATTCTGAGGTGGTTTTGTATGGGTATATCGAAGCGAACCTGCAAACTATTAGTACATGCATATTATAAATGTCTGTCTGTCTGTTTTCGACATAGAACTTTGCACCGATGTGCACCTGTTCAAGTCACCACACTCCATGTAACACAGAGCAAGAGAAGAAAGTAGAAGAAATGCATAATAGAGACAGTAAACAGAGGTGTGAGACAAAGAAATAGTAATAACGAAGAACAGTATAGTTTCATTGGTAATCATAAGTCACAAGGAGTGGATGCATCTGCGCTGCGATTTTAAGTCATATCACCAACTGCTTCCAACCATTGGTTTTTACCGTTCCGAGGACCCCAACCAGGAAGTCTACACCTTCCCATGTGACTGGCTTAAACTAATTGTTGTGGATTTCATTGACTGATGAGGCCATGTTTTGGTTTGACCACCGCTAGCTCTTTTCCAACCTGACCCTATATCAGCTAACATTACCCGTCGGTCGAGGGAGGCGATGACTAGGCATACCTAACACATGTCTTAACCATCTCAATCGATGTAACTTCACAGCCTCGTCGATTGACTGATTGACTCATCTGTGGAGAAATTCTCACCTTTCATCATCTACTGCATTTATAAAATCACAAATACCACATGTTATAAATCAAAATGTAAGGTTAAATAAAATAGAAGCTTACTTGAAAAATATATGATGTTCAACACAGGTTCTATAAAAACGTTTAGCTAATTTTCGGCAAGCAAATTTACATGTAAGCAGAATTCGGCGAGTGGGAGATGATTTAATTTTCTGAAATTCAAAACAATAATGTAAACATACATAATTATGTGACAAATGAAACCAGTGTAAATATACAATTTATATTATGATGCATTTTATAAACAATCGGTCAGGGGTATGAGAATGCTTCACTAATTCGAAGATAAGTTTCGTCTGCCTCGACATCTATAGAAAACAACGAAGTACCGAATAATTACTTTGGAACTTCTGGTAAGTGCACATATACACACACACACACCTTTCCAAGGGATTTAGCTCATAAAGGTCAGGTTACAATTTAGACAGTCAACTGGAATCCTAAAATGCATAAGGTGTAACTTTCAACAATTCGAAATATAGTGGCACCTGCATTACACACACACTAACTAACTAACCATCTTCATAATACACACCAGAAAGGTGTTAAAATAACACGAGGCAACACAGCAGCTCTTTTTGAACTACCCCAATCAAGTGTATGCCAATTATCCGAATAAATGCATAGGTAGAGCGGTTTAGTATCGCTTTACACGTAGGTAGAGCTGATATTCATCCGACAAATATTCTGCAGATACAAATAAGAAATAATGGTAGAAAATACAAAAGCAATAAAAAATCGGAGAAAAAACTTATCCTCATGGAGGAAAGCATAGACTTTCTCCGCAGGAACTGTAATGAATACGATCTCTAATATTCTACTGACATATATAAATATATATATTCCAATCTGTCATCGAAAATTCTATTTATCTACAACAGGGCAGTTTATATATATTGAGAATTTTATGAATTTTTAATTCATTTGTTTGTTGAGTCGTTTTTCAACGGACACAAAAGTTGCAGATGTCTTTCTGATGAGCGCCACTAAGCACAACATCTAAGTAAAGGGTATCCTATCGACTAGGTCTAACTCTATTCAGCAACAATGCAATAATCATAATTCAGACTAATCAACAATAAGAGATGCTATCCTGAATCACTATGACATGCAACTAAATACATAACACAGGAAAAAGCGATTCAGTAATAAAAATTCGTACACTTATTCGTTTTTATGAATTTGAATAGAAAAAAAACGACGGTTTGTGTGGAATACGATGTTATATCTAAAAGGAACAGACAGACGCCTTCGAAAGGATTACTGTCAGGCATCTAGTCGATACGGATCATGAGGTGGACGCCCTGAAATCTTTTCAAATTATCAATAGACAGTGTAGTTCAATTTCTCCAAGTATGCAGAAGCAATTGTTCTCAAAACCCTTAAAAAACACGATTTATGTGTTCAGAAGGAAGCGGCCTATCAATCTTTCCTTGCCCCTTCCTTTTATTGACTAAATAATCTTTAGCTTTAACCTCATCCCCTTCCGCTATATTGTAATTTACTTCTTTGTTTTTTTACAATTTGATTCGAACTCACCACACTTTTATACAACTTATTAGTTACTTACCATCTTATCCACCTATTGTCATAAATACGCAACTCCATCTTAATTGTATCCAAACATTTACAAATCATTTTTGGGGGTTGTTTTACTTAAACTCGAGATCAAACTTCAAATTTTACCTCGAAAAGTGTAAATTGCAGATTGATTTACGGAATTAATATATGTGTGTAAAACTTGGGCACTGTGGTAGTAAGCAATTGCAGCTGTGCCTGACTTCCACAGTATTTAAATTCCAAGGGAAAATATACAAACAAACTGAAGGAGTTGCCATCGGATCACCAATATGCCCGGTTGTGTCACATATATATTCATTGATAGGTGGGAAAACATAGTAATTGAAACGTTCACTCCAACCCCCAAAAGTATGGTGGAAGTATGTCGATGACACATTCACTGCACTTAGAACACAAGATATTGATAAATTTTTCGAACATATTAACTCAAAGGTGGAAGCAATTCAATACACTTATGAATTGAAAAGTCGGAAAGCGGAACTGCCAATGTTAGATTGCAGTGTAAAAACGAAAGAAGATGAGAAGTTAAACACACTAGTGTGTTTACAGGAAACCCACACATTCAAACATATATTTGGACTTCCGATCATCCCATCCTATGTCAGTAAAAATAGGATTAGTGAAATGTTTAAATAATAGAGCACAAAAACTAAGTAGCACCAAGGAAAATCTAAGACAGGAAGTGATACACATAAAAGAAGCCTTGAAACTTAATAATTACCCGGATCAGAAAGTATGTAGGGAAATGTAAAATAAAGTAAATAATGATAGTAATGATAGTGATGATAATAATAATAGTAGTAAAAATATTAATGACGACATGCATGTCAAGCATGCGCAGGATAATGACAACACCAACAATAAGGAATCTAAATCATCAGTAGTAATTCCATACAAGGAAGAACCTCGGAAACCTTACACAGAATTCTTAACAAGTCAGGAATAAAAGTGGCTGACATTCAAACCAACCACAAACTCAATTAGAAACAACCTTTGTCGGTTAAAGGATCCTGTGGAGTCTTTAAAACAAAACAATTTAGTTTATCTAATACCCTGCCCGAGATGATTGTCAGGTCAAATACATAGGTCAAACTAGTAGAACAGGGGCCGTCACACTAGCTGAACATAAAAACCTAGCGAAATCTAGATTGGTTGATCCGAATAAGATAAGAAATCTAGAGAATAGTTCAGCTATACCACTCACTACATACAATTACACACAATCACACTAACAGGGTGTATGGGATAAGGTGACAGTTTTAAAATCTAATGTCACAGAGTGGAGGGAGAGATTGATAACAGAAGCTTTGTTTATCGAATCAACTGCAAATCAACACGTGTATTGGGAATGATTTAACACCTGTTCAGGCGGATATCTGGAAAATTCTACTACCCCAACGACGACAAATAGGAGAGGACAAAGGAAACTATAAAACTCAAATTTCAAAGTCGTGTGATTACAACTGATGAGGTGATTATGAACAATAAATTGTGTTCGAATCGTCATCCAGTAAATAATAATACTGTTTCACTGTATGATACATCTAATAAACAAACTAATATGGAATGATTTACGGAATTAGCCGAGTAGATAGCCCAAGTAGACAGCCAAAAATAGGGTAGTTTGAATTAATTCATATCTCTCAGCTGATTCACACGGGGTAGACCACCGATTGCCTCGGCTTCAAATAAGCGAAACGGCTGTCCAACGTTTAAATCACTTCAATGCGGTGTAGTGTAGTGGTATACAACTACTCATCCCAAATTTAGACTGTACACAACTGATAATAAGCCGCCGAAATAAACAACGATGGTACTATCCCATTCAGCACAAATCGTTGTTTCTACTTTATTCGAATAGACATTTGACATGAATTTTAAACTAATTAAGCACTAACCATATTAAAAACACAGTATTATTAATTCCATAGTAATTTGTTTATTGGACATGTCACACAGTGAAACAGTAGAATTTTCGCTGGATGACGTTTACAGCACGATTTTTTGTCCAATAATCATATAAACTGTAGTATTATTATATTCGGAAGAAGAAATATATAACGGTTGACTTCAAGTTGACAACATAACAAAATTAATAAGAAGCCTTAGTGTTTTATTTTTAGACAGGTGTGTTTTGAGGATTTCCGTTAAACACTTGACTCGTTTGACAACAAGAAGAATCAAAAAACAAAAAAGAAAAAAAAATTATCCTCCAGTCGACGACTTACATTATCTCTTACCACAATAGAGAACTCATCTGAATGATAGCACACTTTGACAATTTGTGACCATGTATAATGTGACAGGCGTAAATGACCCCATTGAAGGAATACACCAGCATGATAAACTCCCAAAGAGAAATCAAAATTTGGGAAATCATTAAAGGCGAACGGAAATAACGCGGAGCCTAGATCAATTTAAACACATAAAAAGTGAAAAACCCTTCTAAAAATCATTCATTTATTATATGCACACAAAACAGTAAAGAGTTCAGATAAGTAATGATAATAATACAGAAAGCAATGCTTTAATACACTTGTTTCCTAGAGGCTCCAATAAGGAAATTAGGTGTAGTGTAATCAATCAAACAGAAACATACATCATCTCCTACATCTGATTTCGATTAGAGAACCTTGACTAGACTAGACTAGACTGTTCTACCTGTGTACGGACATTCGACAATTGCGGGTCCCGCCAAATGCCCAATGCAAAGGTGTATGATGAGTTGGCTGTTCTTTCCATTACATTTAACAGCCAATGGCGCCTCCCTGTTAGTACCAGAATATCTAATCAGGGACTCTTGCGCATTGGAGCCAGCCCCTCCTGACTCATGGACACGGGATCCCGATCTCCAAACCACAGCCCACTGCACAAGATACCACTTCAGACTGGCCTCAGCTAACAGTTGCCATACTGCGCCTCGCGATAGGGATTACCAGTCCTCCACAGCCACCCACTAACCAGTTGTTATTGACCCCGGTGCTTTCATCAGGAATTCACAGATCTTAGGCACCGCCGATGCCTTGTACACCGCCATAAGGCCTAAGGACGGCACCGCTGCTTCATCAAGACTGAGTAACCGGACGCGAGTGTTGTCCCATGCTTGCGACAGGTCTTTGCTGAGGCTTGGGTTGCCTTCCCGATAAGCCCCACCCAGAGGTCACCACGTGGAAGTGCCTGCCGCATGTAACTAAACCCCCGTCCCGCCATTACCAAAGCCCGGGTGTTTCTTCACGTTGATACTCAGAGCACTGGGCGGAACAGAGTAGCCAAATGGAGACTTTGGCAAGAGAAGCCAATGTTGGAAAGCATACGATGGTCAAAGATTTTCACATCTTGCACCGCATGCAGGGCCTCTCTGCTAAGCCATTCATGGTGGGCATGTCAACGCGTCAATTAGATGACGAGGCATTTGGCTACCTTAAGAGAGTCATAGTTACCTCTGCTTGATTTCGATTACAGAGCCTTGACTATCTTAACAAATTTACTTAGTACCACCGTCTGACACACTACACTACCTAACTGCCTACCCTACCAGTTTTACTATACTAACCTAAACGGAAGTGAACTGCAGAGAGAAGGCCAAAATTCACCGAAATTTATGGCTATCATTTTGATTATGACTGTCACTACACATTTGTCTCCATTTTCCTCGTCACTCGGTTTTTGTTTACTATTATTGTAACATGGAGTATAGCGATAGCCAAGACTTAGCACTGACAACATTAGCTTCCACTGCTCACTACATAGCTTCCGAATCTGCATTAAACTGGTTTCATAAATTAAAACTAAGATGCAAACTAATAATCCCTCCAAGATACCAATGAGTAGGTTATCTACATGGATAACCGAACTTCCATTAACTATCACCATTATAGATATTCACTAACATCCAAATCCGGATTAGCATGAATAGCCAAAACATTATAAATATTCATTTCTGTTGTGTAAAGCACTTCTCTTCAGCACACACTATGATAAGCTGATCTATATTGTAACTGACAGGATGAGAACATATCAATTACAGAATTACCAAATACACAAAAACGATGGATTAGTGGGGTACACACCAAGTCTGGCATGATGACAAATACTCGCCTATGACATTGGCTGGCTGTGGTGCTAAAATCACGAATTGGCAGAAGTTAGAATTCACGGACTACTGCATCCCATCCCAGTAGCTAAGTGGTCAACAAGATCGCCTCATAACTTGAAGGCTCTGGGTTCGATCCCTGGTGGGGTCATGGGTGCGTACTCCTTAAGAGTCCCAAACTAGGACCAGACAGAAGTCAAGTACTCTCTGATTTTCAATGCTTTTCTTGCTGATATCAGTTCGTGATCCAAGTTGAAAGTTCATTAAAAAATATATATATTATCAAAATACTTTTACTACATGACCACTGCTTAGAAAGATAACAAAAATTAACAAACCACGTTTTATGTTAAATAATCTCTGTAAAGACGATTTAATACTAGATTTCGATAACGATTTATTGCCTTTGCTAGAGGAGTTCAGTGTTTGATTAGATCCATTCATTAAATATTCATCAGTATAATTATGATAAGATTCAGTAGGACTAGTTTTGGAACGATCAGAAAATGAACGAACCAATTTTTTAGTTAATTTTTTGAAAGACCCGGTTGACATGTAGGTAGCATGAAATTTCTATAATTAAAAAAAAACAGTGCTAAATTTTGTTAATATTTCCGTATTTATAAAAAATGGTATTTTGTGAAAAAGGTTAAGCAATGGATAGCCACTTATACTGTCACTTTACATACTGGTCAATGAATCACTTTGCTATCTAAAACCAAAGCAGCCCAAGTTACCAACAGTTACAAAAAAGGCCTTATTCTTACAAATGCAGTTCCTTGGGGACAACACCAGCGCGATACCAACACAGAGCCTTAGAAATGCGGTAAAAAGAGCACTCACTGCTGCCGAATTATGCTGTATCTTCAAAACCACTTCTCTTTTGCGCTAGGGAGTAAAAGACAAACTGCCTAGTTTCGCCTATTCCATGTGTATCTACCAATTTAACTGCTCCTATGGAGTGAGCCAGTTACATAGGCCGTACAATTAGGCATGTTTCTCGTCGAATTTCCGAACATCAGCCTGCATAGTGGTTGAGTAAAGGACAAACAAAATCTATTCGAAGCGCCATTCTATCTCACTCACCTTGTGGATACAGAACACAAGATTGACGTGAACCATGCTTTCAGGGTCATTTATCGCATACCTACGAATCTCTATTTTGCCTTAAGAGTTCACTACTAAATATTGCTGAGACTGGCCGTTGAGATCCATATTAACAAGCCTATTTTATGCATCCAAAAGAAGTTAGTTCAGACATTATCATTACCTTGACTATCTAGATTTGAATGATCCTGAATTTTTGTGGAATTTTCCTAATTTTAGTTGACATTCTATTCGCTATTATATCTTTGTGTTTTATAGATGTCTGAATGAATAACTTTGCTATCCGTTGATCTCAAACTTTTAAATACACTGTCATTACTTTATCATTAGTAAAGGCTGAAGATACAACCACAGCAGACTTAGCGTAGGCGGATACAGTTATCATATAGATGATCTGACATTTAAGAAACAACTACAAAGAGATGAAAGATTAACTTTCTGTGAGAAACAACCAATCAGAAGACTGTGTTTTCTGCTAACAATAATCTATAATATGTACATGAAAATCTATAAATATGTGTTGATTTTCGAAATAAACAATCTATTGCCTGGCCCTTGTCTTCTGTTGATACAGTAGTAGTATTACCATTCTTTTTCTTCACCTGTCTGTATTGATGTGCGTATTGACATATTCCTAGGCTTAAAACTATATTCGCCCAAATACGAGTACAGGACCCAAAATACTACAAAATGCATCAGTATTGCAAGCAGAAAAGAAGAAATAAAACCCAACACTATCTATACAGTGTCTATTATCTCTAGGTAGTCAAAACAGAAATTGCCTGGTGGTTGGATGTAATCAGCAGAAAGCCTCAAACTGTGATTTCTTCCTCACTGGTACTCGTCAGTAGGGAGTTCATATTTAATTTCAGAGCTGTTGACTGTCTGATTTGGGATCCGCAAGATGCTAAGAACCAATGGCTGCAGACTACTGATGATACACAGCTCAAAGTCCTCAATGACGCACATGCCTTAACTTAACTCTTTGTGATCTCCTATATCCATTAGACCCTCATGGAATTTTCCATGTGACTATTCTTTCTCTCGCATATTTCCACTTATATTCATTCTTTCGAATCTATTTTTCTCTCTTTTCTCAACTTTTGTAAGCTACATGGAGTCTGGAAACTTGAAATGCTACACTTCTGTGCAGAGCTTAATGTTTAAACTCAGTCCATCAGTCAGTCAGTTGGGGGATGTGTCTTCAGAGAATTGATACTGGGTCACTTTGTGCTGCAATCAGTTACTCTGCAGCAACCAAGTAGAGTGAACATAACTATTTTTACATAATAGTGAATAATGTTCTAACAATAATACCGAAATTGTTCACACAAACAACTTCATTTAAAATCAGGAAACGGTGTAAGCACTCAAGATGAGTAGTTGCATAACACTTATATCAACTAGTATTGCTTGCTTGTTTGAAGCCAAGGCCATCGGCGATGTACCCCGTGTGATGCAGCTGAGAGATCTGAATCAATTCAAACTACCAGATTTTTGGCTATCTACTTGGATGAACTAGTAATACCATAAATCAAATTCGCAATTTGCGAATTGATTCACCATCTACAAAGTTCGGAGGGATTATTTCAACACAGTTGTTTCCTTTGGAAACCGATCTTATTCCCCATCATAATATCTGATCTACCAGCCAGAAATCGGATATTTTCAAATGGCTCAGCTCTCTCAGCTGAGTCACATCAGGTGCACTGCTGATGAGCACGGCATTAAACGAGCTAAACGGCTATCCTATGTTTAGATCACTTTGATCTGGCTGCCGATTGATGGCAATGGCGTACAACTACTCACTATAATCAATCAGTAGTACATAGTTGCATGCATTCACACTTGGTTTCTTGATTACCATTTATGGTAAGTCGAGGGAGTAGTTTTACTGGACAAATCAAATTATTTTCAAAGGATGATCCAAATCCTCAGCGATGACAGTAAATTTTCAAAGCAGACTTGGTGAAAAAGACAACACTGCAGAAAGTGAAAAGCGGTTAACAAGGTTCCTTTTGAAATAAAACAGGGCTCAATAATTGGCACATGAACCTATGAAATGATACAACCGTCCGGTTCAACAATTTCACGCTTATATGGCTTATCAAAAATCCACAAAGACGAAATACTTCTACACGTGAAATCCTAGACATCTCCAGATGACATATCATCCCGTATCACGGTGGCTAGCAGAAACTTTAGAACCTGAAAGATACGCATGAATTTGTGGATTCAGTAAGTCAAGAGAATGTATTTGGGTTAACTATGGCTCCGTTGGACGTAGTTTCCCTATTCACTGATGTCCCCTCAACAAAAACGGTATGATACCTATGTGAGTGAGTTTATCGATTCAAACAATTTGAAGGTTGGTATACCAAATAAACATATCAAGGAGCTAATCCCAAGATGCACACTCAGTGTCCACCTTTTGTTTAATAGTCAAATATACCGACAAAAAGATGATGAAATAGCAAAGGATTCTCCACTTGATCTATTTGCTCGCCGACTACTTCATGGCGTACTTTGAGTCAAATATCCTCTTACCGACAATCGAGCGGTGCGAAGTTTACAAGCAGTATATAGATGATATCTTCATCATCACCCATGAAAATACTGAACTAAGCAAAATCTCGCAAATATTCAACAACGCTCATCAGTCAGTCGAATTCAAAAGGTAAACTATCCTTCGTAGATGTGCAGCTTACAAGACGATCAGACAGAAGCCTATAAAGGTCAACTTACCACAAACTACCATTATCAAGGTAGATTCTTGTCACAAGAGAGGCGATGACATCTCTTTTTCTGCCGAATGTGACAAAACTGTGATAGTTTGTTTTACGTTTTGATTACGTAAGACTATTCCATATATTTCAAATATAGTTACTACCAATCTACTTTGATTCACTTTATTACTAAATGACAATAACCTTATAGCTCTGCTGTCAATATATATTGCATATATAAACACACTAGATAACTGTACAGCGTTGAAGTGAAGCTACGAATAGTCTATTCAATGATAAGCTATTTAGACTGGACACTAGTAACTATTGTGATGTGTCTAGTCCTTTCTTCGCTGCAGACTGAATTCTATCAGTCAGCTTTTGAAATGTGGCCACCATTCTAGGTAGCTCGCCATCACGGTGCACATTGATTTGACGATATTAGGTGGTTGGAGGTAATGGGCAGGAAGCCTTGGACCTAGGTTTCGTGCTAGTTGGCACTCATCAGCGAGGTGTATCTGCGACCTTAGAGGAACTCATGCCCCTTCTGAGATTCGAACTCGTGTCACCCAGCGCTGCAGTCAGAGACGTTACCACTGAACTATTAGGGCTCACAATTGACCTCCTGTAGGACTGTAGTGGGTATTTTGATTAGACACTAGTAACTAGTGTGATGTGTCTAGTCTTTTGTTTGGTGCATACTGAATTCTATCAGTCAGCTTTTGAAATGTGGCCACCATTCTAGGTAGCTCGCCATCACGGTGCACATTGATTTGACGATATTAGGTGGTTGGAGGTAATGGGCAGGAAGCCTTGGACCTAGGTTTCGTGCTAGTTGGCACTCATCAGCGAGGTGTATCTGCGACCTTGGAGGAACTCATGCCCCTTCTGAGATTCGAACTCGTGTCACCCAGCGCTGCAGTCAGAGACGTTACCACTGAGCTATTAGGGCTCACAATTGACCTCCTGTAGGACTGTAGTGGGTATTTTGATTAGACACTAGTAACTAGTGTGATGTGTCTAGTCTTTTGTTTGGTGCATACTGAATTCTATCAGTCAGCTTTTGAAATGTGGCCACCATTCTAGGTAGCTCGCCATCACGGTGCACATTGATTTGACGATATTAGGTGGTTGGAGGTAATGGGCAGGAAGCCTTGGACCTAGGTTTCGTGCTAGTTGGCACTCATCAGCGAGGTGTATCTGCGACCTTGGAGGAACTCATGCCCCTTCTGAGATTCGAACTCGTGTCACCCAGCGCTGCAGTCAGAGACGTTACCACTGAACTATTAGGGCTCACAATTGACCTCCTGTAGGACTGTAGTGGGTATTTTGATTAGACACTAGTAACTAGTGTGATGTGTCTAGTCTTTTGTTTGGTGCATACTGAATTCTATCAGTCAGCTTTTGAAATGTGGCCACCATTCTAGGTAGCTCGCCATCACGGTGCACATTGATTTGACGATATTAGGTGGTTGGAGGTAATGGGCAGGAAGCCTTGGACCTAGGTTTCGTGCTAGTTGGCACTCATCAGCGAGGTGTATCTGCGACCTTGGAGGAACTCATGCCCCTTCTGAGATTCGAACTCGTGTCACCCAGCGCTGCAGTCAGAGACGTTACCACTGAGCTATTAGGGCTCACAATTGACCTCCTGTAGGACTGTAGTGGGTATTTTGATTAGACACTAGTAACTAGTGTGATGTGTCTAGTCTTTTGTTTGGTGCATACTGAATTCTATCAGTCAGCTTTTGAAATGTGGCCACCATTCTAGGTAGCTCGCCATCACGATGGCATATTTATTTGAGGATATATTAGATAGTTGGAGGCAATTTAGTTAGCAACCTTTCATGCTCTAATAATTAATTAACAATTAACAAGTTAATGAACTAGAAAGGTTAGGTTCAGTCAAATTAAATGACCGGCTACCATCAGACTGAATACGATAAGAAAAGTATGGAAAATGAGAATGTTAGTTAAAAGTGCAAAGACGTTGAAAAAACAAGCAAATTATTTCTGATTTATCTCTCCTTTACACTATAATATCATAATATTATTGAAAGAAGCCATTATAGTCAATTAAAACAACGTCGAACAGTGAAAAAGGCGACTGCCTACTACTGATGCTTGTAATGCAGAATATAAAGAAACAATATACTTCTCGTAGAATATGCTAATATGTTTCACACTAAGCTAGTTAGGCGCACTTAAGTTGTGGCAAATAAGCAATACTGTTAACTATCAGATAATGCTAAATGTTCACATTAAAGTACACAAGCCTGAATGCTAAGAAAAGTACTAAAGAATATTCATAGGCTCTATAATAAACGTTTTGTATTTCCTATTTCCAATGCACGTATCCCACACTATTTTGTGTGGTTACAGGGAAGTGAATGCAATGCATTGCAATGACTACGTTTTATTCCGCGTTATTTAACAGGCTAACTCACCAGGGTTAATCATTTTACGCCTAGCTCAATTTTTATGCTCCAATAATCTAATTGACCTCCACTCTACTAGTTCGACTTATGTAATTCCCCTGACAGGGTACTTGGTAAAATTATATTATTTTTCCTTAATTGGATCTATTGGGTCCTTAAGCCGACAAAGATGACCTCTAAGAGAGTTGGGTGGTTGGTTAACAGTGGGGTTAGACAGGGTTGCCCAATCTCTCCATTTCTCTTTAACTTTGCAATCGATGACATTCTGGAGTCAGCTCTGAAGGATGTGCGTTAAGGTGGTGTAGATCTGCTCCCTGGAGATAGACTTCTCGACCTCGAGCATGCAGACGATATCGTCTTACTGTGAAATAGCATGCAGGCTGCCCAAATCGCACTTAATCAGTTGGCGATCAGTGTCTGGAAGTATGGTATGTACTTTGCGTCGTCTAAGTGCAAAGTACTGTTACAAGATTGGCAGGAGTCTATACCTGCACTCACTCTTGCGGGTGAACCGCTTGAAGTTATTGATAAGTTTGTGTATCTGGGTAGTTGTGTGAGTGCTGGCGGAGGGGTGACGAGTGAGATTCCCAACCGTATAATGAAGGTTAGGGTGGCATACATCAACACGAGCCACCTCTGGCGCCGTCGCGATGTTAGCCTGGCTGTCAAAGGTCGGGTATACAATGGTTCAGTGCAGGCTGCCTTGCTCTACGCCTGTGAAACCTGGCCTCTCCGAGTAGGCTGAGGATGTGCGGCGACTCTGCGGGTTCGATCATCGCTGTCTGCTTAGGATTGCTTGCGTCCGATGACATCACCACGTGAGTAGTTCTGAGGTTCGGCGGCGTGTGTTTGAAACACTGGGGATCACTATTCATTGAGTGTCGTCATCTGGAAACACTGGCTCCGGTGGCTTGGATATGTGCTGCGAATGTCACCCCAGAGGCTTTCGTACAGGTCTCTGTTCGCTAGCCCTGGGACGGGATGGAAAAGGTGGAGGTGTGGTTAGTCCATGATGTGGTGTCGTGAGATGAAGGATTTTTGTGCTAGATTAGCATTGTTTGGTGTGTCACGACTCCCTGGTTGGGATAGCTCAAACCAATGGCTCGAAACGTTGTCGAAGATGGCCAAGAATCGTAATCAGTGGCGAACGTGTTGCAATTTCCTTCTTTCTTCCCTCCCCGATGACAGTTAACGAATAGTGTTTGGACTTGTTAAGCATGACTGTTTTCCTTCCAGATGAAATTCTCTATCCGTTCTCTACTTATATCTTTTTTACTTTTGATTTATGTCGTTTTATTATTATTGTGTGGCGCATCTTTCTTGATGCCATATTGTACCAAGTTTTTATGCGTTTAAATAAATAAAAATAATAAATAAATGGGTGGTTGGCTGAAACGCCACCCTGACTAATTCGTCTCATTGAGAATCCTACGTAACGCCTATCACGTTCCTTATTTAAACCACAGGCAGTGCTACAGAGACTTTGAATTCTACATTTTGTCATTTCCGACACTAATCTAATTTTTTATATGATTCTTTACATAGTTTTGAATAAATTCTGGTGAGTAGTTAGTCACGAGTAATATTTCCCTAATTTGTTCGATTTCATTATTTAAGTCTTCTGATTTACTAGTTAAGCACCTGGCCCGATTATATAGACAATTGAGTAGACGTATCTTTACCGATTCTGGATGGGATGCATCAAAGTCCATGTATCGGTTTCCTATAAATGCTGGTATCTAACACACTATTTTATTTTCGTCTTATTCTACAGTCCAAGCAGAGCCATTTAATATGAAGTGCTTCTGATATGAGACGTTCTTTGTGGCTTTTCAGATTCTTCTGGATAATTTCGGTATTGCCAAAATTTATTTTGTTGTCTGATTCCATTATAGCGTGTAGACTTATGCTGATGATTTTTTAATCTTCTGTAGTGCGTCGATGGCACAGAGGTTAGGACTCTCGCCAACCATACACATGGTCCGGGGTTCAATCCCCTGCCGACACTCACCTGATATCTTTGGTCGGCCTGCAAAATTTGGGCTATCGATATCACATGCTGAAAACTCCATACTTGCAACAAAAATACTGTGTGGAATCAAGTTTCATTGAATTTCTCGATGGTCGAATAGAGGTTCTAAGGTATTCATTTCTTTTGATGCTGATTTCTTGCCAGGTCTGTCCGATGTAAATTGCATCACATTCGAATCATTTTTTATTTTATACACACAGTTCTATTGTAAATCCTCTGATATTCCGGTTTTCAGATGAACAGGACTGCTTTTTCAGTGTGTCTGATGTACTGAAGGGAATTCTGATGTTGTGTTTGTTGAGTACTCTTCTGATATTGTCTGACATATCCGCATGGAGTGTGGCGACTGGAACTGCTGCACATCTGTGCAAAGTTCTACGTTGGAACCAGTCAGTCAGTCAGTCATATCCGATCTATATGGAGGTCCATGTGTTCGAAATATACTTTTTCAACCATGTTTAATGTTAGTGTTTTGTTTATCATTCATTGGAAAATACAAACACTTTTATAATAATGAATATCACATACCCCATATGCGAGGTTATTTTCTTCACTTATCTAGGAAGCATCTCGTTGCAACTACAATTGGAAAGGAATGAAGATGTCAAAACCAGCCAGCCAGCCAGAATCGGAAAGGCAAGATACACCTTCATCAACCTGAAACCAGTTTGGAAATCCTCTGCACTGCATTCAGCATAAGGGACAAGATTAGGATTTTCAACAAAAAATGTGAAGTCAGCCAGTGCGTCTATACGGGTCAGAAATTTGCACACTGAGTGTCATGAAAAGGATTTCCAACAGGCACTTACAGACTTTTGTCAACAACTGCCTTTGCCAGCTCAATACTGAAGATCAAATGGCAGGAAGGCAGGCCAGAAAGAACTAGTAACAAGAAACTCCGGCTGGGAACTAACCAACAGGCAAGAGCTGATCGCTCAACAAATATGTAGGAGAAAATGGAGATGGAGTTGGCATACGCTGTGTAGGCCATCGAATGACATCGTGCACAATGCAGGTCATCGCTAGAGTGGAATTCCAATGAAAAGTGACAAATGGGTTGTCGGTGCGGAGAACGTGTGGCGACGAAGAGATGAGAGATTATGGGCAATCGTGGTCCAAGCTGAAGAGGATGACAGAAAATAGAAGAAAGTACAGATGTGTTGTTGAAGCCCTATGTTCCATTCGAAACCCAAGGGAATAATTATAATATTATAATATACCAAATGTGCAAATTTTTTCAAACTATTAATTGTGAACTCTGTTTGGACGTATAATATATATATATATATATATATTCTCCCTACTTGTTGTTGTAAATTTTGATTATCCCAATTAGTAAAAGTCTTTTTAAGCTAGAAACTGGTGTACAAACAGATATCGGTTATTTCATCATAACAACAGGATAAGCAAAATAAATTTTTACAATGCAGATAAACAAAATAAGCAAATGGAACTAATAGAATTAAGTAATGCAGTGATAATACCTTCACAGGATGTAATTCAACGCCATAAAATGCCAATTTTTTCACATTTTCTAAAAATGACTTTTCAGCATCTTCTTGAAGCATACCTCTATAGATAAGATGAAGAATAAAATGAATAGAAAAAAGAGAATCAACAAAGATGTACAAGTGAGAAAAGGAAAAAAACCGTCCCATACTCTTATGTTACACTACTTTTCGCTGAGAACAAAGTGATACACTTCTGACTTACAGTAAGTCATATTACCTAAAAGAACTACATTATACAAGCCATACCCTTGTTAAACTTAAACAAGGAGAGAACACAGAGGTATGCAAACTACAGTGAGACGATTCAGTTCACCATCAGAATCATAAAGAATGATATTCCATCAGCAGGTTTAACAGTCAACTTAGAATTTAACAAAGACCCCTCTACAAGGTCCATGTGGTGGTCGGGCTTGAATACCGTAATGACCCAACATGCTTAACTGACTGGGACTCTGTCCCTGCAGGTCCTACCATGTCAGGAAGGTTTCTGGATAGCGGTTAGACTAAAAGCAGTTACCATGGGGTACATGGGCTCCAGTATCCAATCGGATCAAGTGGCGTATGAACCCATATGGGTCACCGGAAACCATGGGAATGCAGCTCCTGACGTTGCTCCGTTGCCTTGTGGATTAGACTCCAAATCAAAGGCTCGGGGGGTGGTTCTTTAATAAAACCACCTGCTTCGGTCTGGGCGCCCGGGCAGTATCTCAGCCCTCACACAATCAATTGAATAAAGCAACAAACAATCAATGAAATTATCGCGTGTTATTACACTTGTTGTGATTTCCTTCTTTCTTCCCTTCCCGATGATAGTTAACGAATACTGTTTGAACTTGTTAAGCATGACTGTTTTCCTTCCAGATGAAGTTCTTTATCCGTTCTCTACTTACATATGTATTTTTCTTTTCTTTCTTTTGATCTATGTTGTTTTATTAATATTGTGTGGCGCATCCTTCTTGGTGCCATATTGTACCAAGTTTTTATGCGTCTAAATAAAATAAAATAAACAAGGTCCATGTTCTTCAGAGTGCCTTCAGAGAAAATCCTACCCATTTACCACTAAATGAAACTGTTAGACTATGGCTAGCCTGGGAGGTAGAGGTGTTAGGATGGACTAACTATCTTTGTTAACCGTGAAGTTATGATGGAAGCATGCGCCGACATAATAACCTGATTGGACGATTTTTGATCTTCGAGGTTATTCAATCAATCAGATATTTATTATCTATGAATCATTTAAATTTCCGTTGATGTGATGAAAACGATATATAAATATTCTGTATTGTGAAAATACACATAGTTGTTGTCGAGGTTGTCTCAGTAAAATTTGATTTTTGTATCTACCTCACTGTGGAGGAGCATCTTCAAATGACCAGTTTGGCTATAGTGTCGTGTTTGGAGGTACATTATAGACAAGACAGACGACAACCAAAAACAAAAAACAATACAACTTAGTTACAACAGATACTCAATTCAACAATCCGATATAAACAATATTTACTGTTCACTGCAATCCAATATCAACACACGTTTTCGCAGGAACTAACTTTTCTGATAACGTCATGAATATTATGGCTGTACACTATCCACCTGCAACGATAAGTAAAACAATGAGTATAGAAACCTCGAAAAATTCTAGCTGGCTTTCAGTGATGGTATTCAGTGTTTTAAAGCACAACGATCCACTGCCGGTAAATATCGATCCATTTAACGAAGCGGAGGACCTAAAGGAGTTCCAAATGTTTAAACATCACAAGGAACTCAACAACTTAAATCCAGTTAACTTCGAAGAGAATAAAAGTTTTTGTATTCCCCAATGAATAAGAAACAAAACGATATTGTTGTTTTCACTGACGTTTAGCTATTTAATGCTGTTAATAGCTTTATCAAAGTACTATTAACCCGGAATATACAAAGTCTCCGCTTATATATAAAAACTTAAACATTGTTCATCAGCATGGTGTCATTTTTACGTTGTCAAGTTGGCCAATCGGTAAAGATAACAAAACCAAGTGCAGATTATTGGATTTGATAAATGTATAAAATTATAAAAGCAGCATGTGTTCACATTATGGAAGTGCTTGTCACGTGTCACTACGTGGAGGAGTGGGTTGTTCTAACCATGTCAAATTCTGTTTGAGTTCATCATTCCTATCCAGACCATTTGGATTCCATTTGATATGAAGTGCTTCTGATATCAGGCGTGCTTTGTGATTTCTGAAATTTTTCTGAATGACGATTTCAATATTGTCAAAATCAATTTTGTGACCTGATTCTCTAGCGTGTAAAACTATGGCTGATTATTTTTTAAGCTTTTCTAGTCCGACTGGATTTCTCGGTGGTCGAACTGATGTCCTACGGTCTTCATTTCTCCTGATCTTGATTTCTTGTGATGTTTGTCCGATGTATATCGCATCACATTCTAAGCAAAGATGTTGGTGTTAGACCTGTAACAAGGGACTAACTATATCGTTTGATATATGGCAGACTGTATCCAATAAAAGCTCAAATGGGGTCAACACTGTGTCTATTTTTTTTAAGAAAAAGAGATGTAAACAAGTTATTTTGACCTTTAAAGATCAGGTTTACAACACATGCAGTCATGCCCTACACCAGTGAAAGCTGGTCTTCTTAAGCTGCGGATACTTGGTAACTGCTTTCGACTGTTGTCCCCGTAGAATTGCTCTGTCAGCGGAATTCAACAGGCCAAACAAATTGTCTAGTTAGATGACTGACTTGTGACAAACACTTCTAAGTACACATACTTTTTATCAGAAGAAACTGTAATGGATTTCTAGAATATTTACTTACCTAAACTTTCGATGCAGGCGAGTGATACGCGATAGCAATACAGGACAGTATTGACAATTTGATTTTGGATAAGGCCATCCAGGACTAAAATTATTTGCCAGTGGAGATAAAAGTACATCTTCAATATTGCTAAACATTGCAGTTGACGATAAACTTGGTCGACTGTTTGATGTTATATCATATGTACTCTGATGGATAATAGATGATGAAGTTACAGATCCTCGAGCTAAATGCGGTAAACACTGTAAGTAAATCATACTCGTATTGTCAATCTGTTGAGTTGAACAACTACAACCAATATGGCTGAATGTATTCCTTTTATTCACTGAAGACGATGGATGGTGATGATGATATTTGACTTCATTGCTTTTGCCATCTTTCTGTGAATCCCATATTATACTACTGTCACTATGTTCAGGTTCAGCTAGGCTACATCCACGTTCAGCAGATGAAAGACTATGGGTTAGTGAAGTTGACTGTTGTCGTGAATAGGCATGTGATGTTGATTCAGCACAATGTATTGAACGACAGCTTAAATGAGCACTATGAGAACGTTGATATTTTATAGCATCACCTAATACCATTTGAGCTATTAAAGCACCCAATATTACATGAGTTTCAAATGAGCATAATAGTCTACAGCAGGAAAAGAAACAAAAATTGACAACAACAAAAAAATACATAGGGTTAATGTCTATAAAAGTTAGAATTAAAATAAAACACTTCATGAAAATTATCTAGAAGAGTCCCAAACTAAAACGGAGGAAACAGCTGTCCAGTACTCCCAGCTGGTTTTCCAATGGTTCTCTAACCAATGTCACCTCATGATGAAATCCTATAACCAATCAACCAAATCCCTACAAACCAACACTTGAATACCAATGAGATGCTCACTGACGACTGGCCCTATTCAGGTAGGTAGTTACCTGGGGGTCCCAGTGGGAAGTCGTAACCAGTAGGGTGCAGCAGGTCGGGTGTGAGGACAAATACTCGCCGAAGACATTGACTAGCGGTTGGGCTAAATCGTGAATTGGCAGAGGTTAGAATTCAAGGACCATTGGATCGGGTCTCAGTGCCTTAATGGTGTACGAGCTCGCCTTGTAACCGGAAGGTCCTCGGTTCGAATCCCGGTGGATGCGTACTGATGAAGAGTCTGAAACTAGGACGAAATATCTGTCCAGTACTCCAAGCTGGTTTTCCAATGGTTCTCTAACCAATGTCAACTCATGATGAAATCCTATAGCCAATCTGGAAATAAATTTAAAGATGGAAACACTAAGGTTGTTTCATCTAAAACACAGTAAATGTTGTACACTGTTCAGAGTCAAAAAGGTCTTGCCCATAACTTTAAAAAAAACAGAAAATTCCGAGAAGCCTTTGAAGTGAAAACAGACGTAAGATAAGGGAGTCTAACTATCATCGATGATATTCCTGACTGTGATGGACTGGATCATGTGACAGAATTTGAGGAGCATCAAGATAGTAATACGTTAGACAGACGAGAAGACTTTAGAAGACCTGGACTTGCAGATGATTCATGTCTAATGCCACACAAACTCGAAGATCTACGACAAGGGACAACCAACAAGTTGACAGAAGAGGCAAGCAGCGAAGACAGCACTACTGTAACAACAGAAGACAAGGGCCAGGCAACAGATTGTTTATATAGGGAATCAACACATATTTATAGATTTTCATGTACATTATGACAGATTATTGTAAGCAAACAAACAGTTTTCTGATTGGCTGTTTCTCGTTGAACGTTAATCTTTCATCTCTTTGTGGCCGTTTCTTGAAGTTCAGATTATCTATCTGCAAATTGTATCCGCCTATGCAAAATCTCATGTGATTGGTCGTTGAGCCAGTCTTTGTTTTTATTTTTCTCACAACCAATATTGGGGGACGTAAACAATGACGTAAATTACTATCTACCAATTTGGCTAGCAGCCAGCTCTCACTACACTTCAAGTGAACACAGAGAAGACAAATACCATGAAAATACTTAACTAACAAACAACGACATCAACAACAAGCACTAATCACCATCAATAGGATAAATCTGAAGGAAGTCACTTCTTTCGCGCTCATCTAGGCAGCATCGTTTCAGCTACAGATAAGATGTCAAAAGCCAGGCAAGAGAGGAAAAGTAGGATAGACTTTCATTAATCTGAAGTTAGTGTGGAAATCTGCTGTACAAGATTCGGATTTTCAACACTAACGTCAAATCAGTGTCACTATATGGTTTAGAGACTCGGCGGGTCACGAAAAGCATTTCCAAAAGGCAGAAGACTTTGATCAACAGATGACAATCACTTCATACTGAAGATCCGATGGCTTGACCAGAAATGATAAGCAAAAAGGAATTTTGGGAACAAACTAACCAAGAAACTATCACCCAACAAATATATCGAAGGAAATGAAGATGAATGTGAGTGACATCGCGCGCCAGGCCCCTGAGTGGGGGCCGAATGTGAAACAAAGAATTAGACATGGATCTGAAATTGAAATGGAGGAAATTGTATGAGGAGCAGATGAAAGCTCATACACAATCATGGAGCCAAATAAAAAGGACTCCATGGAACAGGATGAAATGGAGATGAGCTGTTGAAGCCCTATTTTTCACTCGGGACTCAAGGGGGTAATAATAATAAACATTAATATTGAACTGTGACAGTCAAATAAACGGGGGAACTTATTGACTAAGTATGCAGTAATGACGACTGTCTTCAAAACTCAAGTTCCTATTGGAAGGTGAAGTCGCTAGTAAACTAAGTGCTTCGTATATGATGCACATTAATGACGTAAGTGTGCACACACAAGACTTGAGTCATATCAAATAAATGCGACCTAATGACGAGACAATATAAATGTGATTGATGAAACGATTATCACAGAGAAGGCACTGTATATTCAACTGCACAGCAGTTCGCGCTGCTCCTCTTTATGGCTGTGAGATATGGCCATAGAAAGTGGAAGATATGAGAAGATTAGTTGCTTTTGATCACAAATGTTTGCATTTTGTCTCCCATATTAATTAGGATAATAATATAAGCAATATGGAGGTTAGGCGTAAAGTGCTAGGTAAGGAGGGTAGATTAATCGATAAAGTTGTGAAGCTACATCGACTGAGATGGTTAGGACATGTATTACGTGTGCCTAGTCATCGCCTTCCTCGACCGACTGGTGATGTTAGCTGATATAGGGTCAGGCTGGAAAAGAGCTAGCGGCGGTCAAACCAAAACATGGCCTAACTAGTCAGTGAAATCTACAAGTTAGTTTAAGCCACGTAGGAAAGTGTAGACTTCCTGACGGGTTGGGGTCCTCGGGATGGTAAAATCTAATGGTTGGAAACAATTGGTGATATGGCTCAAAATCCTTCTCAATGGCTAGCGTAGATGCATCCACTCCCTGTGACTTATGATTACCAATGAAACTATACTGTTCTTCGTTATTACTATTCCTTTGTCTCACACCTCTGTTTACTGTCTCTATTATGCATTTCTTCTACTTCCTTCTCTTGCTTTGTGTGCTACAAGGAGGGAGTGTGGCAACTTGAACTGGTGCACATTGGTGCAAAGTTCTATGTCGAAAACAGACAGACAGACTTCAGTTTACAGCAGCAAAAAAAAACTGTTCAATAAAAAAAACATGAAATTTAGAAAAAGTCCACTGACTCACCGTCCTATACATAAATGTTGTCTTAACTGAAGACAGAACTGATGTCTAGACTTTGGACATTGGAAAACACGATCCGGATGCTGAGGATAAAATTTCACTTGGAAGTAAAATATTAATTTATTACCTAAATAAATAACAAATAAAATTATTGATAAGAAAATCATGCTTAAGATACTTCATAACTATAAATGAAAATACATGCTTCACACATTCACTTGTCATTTTCTTCAATTAATACACCAAAAAAAGTTCACATTATAACGAAATATTGTGCATATTTTCCAAAAATATTATTCACTTTTATTTAGTTTACTTAAGTAAGGTTCATATCAAAAGTTCCCGTGATAAATCCGTAGACTTCTTTATTGAAGACTGTAAAAATGCCACAATAGAATATCACTGAACAACCATAAATATACCTTAATCTGGATCCTAATACCCATATCATGAGTTATTTTCCTTTATACCTTCCTTATAACCATTTAAGACAACTTACTAGTATGAATTTGGTGGATTGTGACTAGTAGTGGAATCCAGGACTCGTGTCATCTGGATATATCTGCATACTGCAGTGAGTGATGATTTTCTCACTGAGATGCGAACCCAGTACCCATTGTTTCAAATGCTAAAACTGACGAATCCGAAATACAATGAGATCTGCATCCTGGATTCGACTGTTATTTACCATCCAACCGATATCTGTTTGTGCACCAGTTTCTAGCTAAAAATAGGCTTTTACTAATTGGGATAACAGGTAGGTAGAATATATATATATATATATATATATATATATACACTGATGAAGAGTCCCAAACTAGGACAAAACAGCTGTCCAGTACTCCCAGGTTTTCCAGTGGTTCCCTAACTGATGTCAGCTCATGATGAAATCCTCCATGCAATCTTCTCGCTTTATCGAAATTTGACAAAGGATCCACGTATATCAATAGAATTCATCTTAAGGCATAGAAATAAATCAAGTTCAAGTTCGTGGAAAATACCCATATGGACATTAGAAAGAAGAGAACACGAAGTTCAGCGAAGATATCTTTGCTGAACTTCGTGTTCTCTTCCTTCAAGTTCAAGTGACAGAATTTGAAACAACTGACTTTGCAGTACAAACTTCATATGGTTGCCCCCTCCGTCAAGTGTCGATCAACCAGTTCTTCATTTTGCCAAACTTAGAAAACACCTTAAATAAGTTGAATATACTTCAAAAGCAGGTATATCGATCAAACAAATGATTCACACTAACAAAATCATTCACTGCAAGTGTATCTAACAAAGTTTTGAATTCAATTGGTGAATGGTGACTGACAGTGGGATTCAGGATGCACGCTTCGTCCTATTGGGGACTCGTCAGCTAACTGGATGTACCTGCTTTCCCCCGATGAGTGGTGGCGTTCCCAGTGAGGCTCGAACTCAGTGTCTATAGTTTCAAACGCCAAAGCGTTATCCACTGGACCACTTGAACCACCTCTTGTCCAACGGGTCTTAATAATTATTCAATTCAATTTTAGATTTTCCCATCGATTGTCACCATCCACTATGACCAGACATCATCGAAGCATCTGCACAAGGAGCCAACATGTGAATCTGAGACCGAGCACTTCAGCCCAATCAATCGACGGGAAGTCTAACATTGAATTAAACACTAACAAAACTCTGTTTAAAAAAGGAAAAAGGAACAATCGACTGAACAAAAAAAATAAAAGAAGAAAACCTCAGATCGACTAGTCAGTCAGTCAGTAACATTACAAACTAACTAGACAGAAACAAATGCACAACCCTAATTAAGCAATAAAATTTTTGATATAAAAGTTTCTAATAAACTAACTGCCTCAATTAGAATCCGTTCAATGATTGTCCGCTTATTTTAAGAACATCAAAGCTTAAAAAACCCGTGTCTACAACCTTCTGTTTCCTTTTAGTAAAGTCAACAAAAAAACCAAAAACTACAACACAAACCAGTATTTTCAGTGAAACAATGAAGAGGCATTATGTATAAATTCTTTTTTATGATGCTTTTACACGCATACACGCTTAAAAACCAAAGGAAAAGTTGTGCTAAAGCTAATGGCAGAGCGAGAGAGAGAGAGGGAAGGAGAAAGGAGGAGACGCAAACTAAGTAAAAGTAAGCAAATAACCGTCTTCATACTATAACTATATCCGATGTTAATTATTACTTATACTAATTACTATTAGCTACCAGCACAAAAAGGTTTCTTTACGCTGTTAAGAAAAGAAAAAAGAAATTATCGCTTCAAGAAATGGGTTATATGGGATAAAGAGTGTTCAGTCAAACAGGTTAGTAAGCAAAGGAAAAAACCAAAAAACTCTAACCAAGTCAATTTGTTTCTATATTTATATTTAAAGAAAAATAGGATAAAGTGGTATGCAACCAAAGAATGAAGGCATAAAATATGTGAACAGTATTGAGGAATAATACATCCATCCGATCAGTCGCTAAACGATACTAGTTGGTCACACACACACACACACACACACAAGAGTAGATGCAGTCGTATAGACTCGGAAAGGTTACTATTATTATCGTTAATATTATTTAAACGCATAAAAACTTGGTACAATATGGCACCAAGAAGGATGCGCCACACAATATTAATAAAACAACATAGATCAAAAGAAAGAAAAGAAAAATACATATGTAAGTAGAGAACGGATCAAGGACTTCATCTGGAAGGAAAACAGTCATGCGTAACAAGTTCAAACATTATTCGTTAGCTATCATCGGGAAGGGAAGAAAGAAGGAAATCGCAACACGTGTAATAACACGCGATAATTCTCATTGATTGTTTGTTGCTTTATTCAGTTCATTGTGTGAGGGCTGAGATACTACCCGGGCGCCTAGACCGAAGCAGGTGGTCTTATTAAAGGACCACCCCCGAGCCTTTGATTTGGAGTCTAATCCACAAGGCAACGGAGCAACGTCAGGAGCTGCATTCCCATGGTTTCCGGTGACCTATATGGGTTCATACACCATTTGATCCGATTGGATACTGGAGCCCATGTACCCCATGGTAACTGCTTTTAGTCTAACCACTATCCAGAAAACCTTCCTGACATGGTAGGACCTGCAGGGACAGAGTCCCAGTCAGTTAAGCATGTTGGGTCATTACAGTATTCAAGCCCGACCACTACGACAAGGTGGTAGTTATCGGCTGGGCTGGAAGGTTGACACGTTCGACTAGCTACTACTACTATTACTACTGAACATAATCGAAGCTACACAGACTCAAAGAAAACAGTGCTAAAGGTAATAAATAGTGTAATGATTAAAACCACTCCTCCTCTTTTGCATTCGGGAGTAAAAGACAAACTGCCTAATTTCGCCTCTTCCATGTGTATCCTACCAATTTAACTGCTCCTATGGAGTGAGCCAGTTACATAGGTGATAGGATCCCACATATTTTGGTATTGACTGTTTAATCTTGCATATATGGTATGTTATCATTCTCACACATTTTGGTATTGACTGCTAATTTTGTATATATGGTATATTATCATTCCCACACATTTTGTTACTGACTGTCAATCTCGCACATATGGTATATTATCATCTCTCACGCACTTTGTTATTGGCTATTAAGATAAATTATTTCAAATGCTGTTAGCTGTCCATATTGTTGTAAAATGTATAAATACCATGGCTTTCTTTGTCGTTGTTGCACTTCAATACACAGTCACAGTCCAGCCTTTGTCTTTTGATATTTGCGTGCTTTACTAAATCGGAAGGTACGACAAGCAGATAGGCAGATTAGTTCAGGCGCAGACAGAGCAAGGTGAAAACGTCTTCATTCAATTCCCTACAGTTATAACAAATTGGCGACGGGGTTTACCTTAATTCATTGCAGTTATAGCAAGCAAACGACGACAGTTTTTATTCTGTTCAGCGCAACTATATAACATTTTTGACTGTGTTAATTACAACCCAATTACAATGTCTATCTCTCTGGACGATCTCAAATCTATCTTGCAGCAGCAGCAAGTTCAGAATGAAGCAGCTCAACTAAAATTAATCGAAGCTCTCACTCAGAAGCTGTCCATTCAAGTTCCATCAACATCTCATTCTGACAAATATGAAAGCATCTCAAATTCCATTAGTGAGTTCAACTACGACCCAATATCTGGTCTCGTATTTGATGCATGGTTCAATCGTTACGAAGACGTTTTCCGTATTGAATGCTACATGTTTGATGATGCTGCCAAAGTCCGATTGTTACTAAGAAAACTTGGTACTGTTGAGCACAACAGATATGTTAACTTCATTCTGCCCAAGAACCCACGTGAGTTATCATTCGATGAGACAGTCACCGTTTTATCACAAATCTTTGGTGAACAGTCATCCATGTTTAATATTCGGTATCAATGTTTTCAGTTGACAAAAATGCCTTCCGATGATTATGTCACTTACGCTGGCAAAGTGAACAAGGAATGTGAAAGGTTCAAACCACACGAAATGACATCAGATCAGTTCAAGTGTTTGATTTTTATTTGTGGGTTGAAGAACCCAGAAGATACTGACATACGAACTCGACTTCTGTCACTTGTGGAACAAGACCCGAAAATGACTTTACAAATGGTGACAGCAGAATGCCTACGTTTAATCAACTTGAAGCACGATACTGCTATGGTGGAGTGCAAACGACAGTCGTCTGAATTTGGTTCGATTAACACAGTGAAAAGTCCTCCGATCACCGTTAAGCACACAGAACGTCAGTCTCAAAATTCAGCTAAACCTCCTTCAGTGTGCTGGCACTGTGGTTCGTGGCATTTTGTCAAGTTCTGTCCTTTCAAGAAGCATAAATGCCGTAATTGTCACCGTTTTGGACATAAGGAGGGTTACTGTACACCGCAGAAAAATTCTTCGGTGAGGAACAGAAGTAGTCGTTTCAAGCCGAAACAATCTCCTCGAGTACAGACTATTTTTACAACTTCCAAAGTCGAGTTCGCCAGCAAACGTAAGTACATAACACTAGATATTAACGGCAAACGTATTCGTCTTCAGTTGGATACGGCATCAGATATCACCGTAATTTCCCGAACTACGTGGCGCAAACTTGGTTGCCCACAGATTCTGCCGACCGAGCATTTCGCCAAGAATGTCTCTGGAGATATACTGAAACTCGTGGGTGAGATAAATTGCCAGGTTCAGTTTGGTGAGCATCACTTCAATGGTGTATGTTACGTTACAAACTACCATGATTTGGATTTGCTTGGTCTTGACTGGTTAGACAAGCTCCATATCTTTAATGTACCATTAAATTCAGTATGCTCTAATGTTTCGTCTTCACCACACAACGTTGTTCCCGGAGATGTATCTGATCAATCTCTCTTGCAACGCCGTCGTCAAAAGCACGCTTCTGTCTTCCAGGACAAACTTGGTTGCTGCAAACTGTTTGGCATCCAGCATATTCGTAGCCCCCCGTATCATCCCCAATCGAATGGACAGACTGAACGTTTCGTCGACACCTTTAAGCGTGCTTATGCAAAAGCGAAGGGGGAGGGAACAACAGAAAAATTTTGGATAAATTCTTGCTGCATTATCGTACGAATGAAAAAGGACAGTTATGTGTCAGACACACAGATCACGCTCTATCCAGTACCACGCAAAGGTCAACTCGACAAAGAAGAGCTCCGAAACCTTTTCAAATAGATCCAAAAAGCAAGTCCTACACTCTTTACGGGGGGAGGTGATAGGATCCCACATATTTTGGTATTGACTGTTTAATCTTGCATATATGGTATGTTATCATTCTCACACATTTTGGTATTGACTGCTAATTTTGTATATATGGTATATTATCATTCCCACACATTTTGTTACTGACTGTCAATCTCGCACATATGGTATATTATCATCTCTCACGCACTTTGTTATTGGCTATTAAGATAAATTATTTCAAATGCTGTTAGCTGTCCATATTGTTGTAAAATGTATAAATACCATGGCTTTCTTTGTCGTTGTTGCACTTCAATACACAGTCACAGTCCAGCCTTTGTCTTTTGATATTTGCGTGCTTTACTAAATCGGAAGGTACGACAAGCAGATAGGCAGATTAGTTCAGGCGCAGACAGAGCAAGGTGAAAACGTCTTCATTCAATTCCCTACCGTTATAACAATAGGCCGTACAACTGGGCGTATTTTTCGTCGAATTTCCGAACATCAGCCTGCATAGTGGTTAAGTAAAGGACAAACAAAATTTATTCGAAGCGCTATTCTATCTCACTCATCTTATGGATACAGAACACAAGATTGACGTGAACCATGCTTTCAGGGTCATTTATCGCATACCTACGAATCTCAATTTTGCCTTAAGAGTTCAACTACTAAATATTGCTGAGACTGGCCGTTGAGATCCATATTAACAAGCCTAATTTATGCATCCAAAAGAAGTTAGTTCAGACATTATCATTACCTTGACCATCTAGATTTGAATGACCCTGAATTTTTGTGGAACTGTGGTTCATTGATTTAAGCACCTATCTCCCAACCACTGAGTCACGGATTCAAACGACACTCCGTCTACCAGGGTTGGCGCAGTCAAGTAGTATCCTTACATCATAAAAAATACAAACATAATAAACGACATCTAGAGCAACCTTACTATTTGACCAGCTGTCGATTCGGAATAGAGACGTATACACTGTTGCTGCAAAACAAACGTTAAACAATCACCGAACAGTGAATTTTAAAAAAGAATGAATAACCTTGACCCTAGAAGTACTAGGCCATATATTAGGTGGGAAAAAAATATATGTTGAATTAGCTTACCATGACATTGATCAGTTATTCGTTTTTCTGTATCCAACCAGAACTAGATAAGAAAAAAAAAAATCTTTATAAGCGAAACCCTATGAATACAATATAAATGTACAGTAAAAAGTTAAATTCTTTAATTAGTAAAATCCATTGACCATATTGAGATTCAAGAAACAGACTACTAAACATGTGTGTATTGCATACTAACCATTTGACTTTGAGAGGACGAATTCAGTGATTTCAGAGACTTGACAGAAATTAGCAAATAATTCTATATTAGTTTGTTTATTAGATGTATCACACAGTGAGTTGAGCAGTATTATTATTTAGTGGATGACGTTCCGAACACAAATTATTACTGTTCATAATCATTTCATCAGTTGTAATCACACGACTTCGAAATTTGAGTTTTATAGTTCTCTTTGTCTTCTCCTATTTGTCGTCGTTGGGGTAGTAGAATTTTCCAGATATCCGCCTGAACAGGTGTTAAATCATTCCCAATACACGTGTTGGTTTGCAGTTGATTCGATAAACAAAGCTTCTGTTATCAATCTCTCCCTCCACCTAGCTGTGACATTAGGTTTTAAAACTGTCACCTTATCCCATACACCCTATTGGTGTGGTTGTGTGTAACTGCATGTAGTGAGTGGTATAGCTGAACTATCCCCTAGATTTCTTATCTCATTCGGGTCAACCAATCTAGATTTCGCTAGGTTTTTATGTTCAGCTAGTGTGACGGACCCTGTTCTACTACTTTGACCTATGTATTTGACCTGACAATCATCTTGGGCAGGGTATTAGATAAACTAAATTATTTTGTTTTAAAGACTCCACAGGATCCTTTAACCGACAAAGGTTGTTTCTAATTGAGTTTGTGGTTGGTTTGAATGTCAGCCACTTTTATTCCTGACTTGTTAAGAATTCTGTGTAAGGTTTCCGAGGTTCTTCCTTGTATGGAATTACTACTGATGATTTAGATTCCTTATTGTTGGTGTTGTCATTATCCTGCGCATGCTTGACATGCATGTCGTCATTAATATTTTTACTACTATTATTATTATCATCACTATCATTACTATCATTATTTACTTTATTTTACATTTCCCTACATACTTTCTGATCCAGGTAATTATTAAGTTTCAAGGCTTCTTTTATATGTATCACTTCCTGTCTTAGATTTTCCTTAGTGCTACCTAGTTTTTGTGCTCTATTATTTAAACATTTCACTAATCCTATTTTTACTGACATAGGATGGAATGAACGGAAATCCAAATATCTGTTTGAATGTGTGGGTTTTCTGAAAACACTAGTATTTAATTTCCTATTTGTGTGATACATCTAATAAACAAACTAATACGGAATTACTTACTACCACAGTCCTCAAATTTTACACATATATTAAATTAGCAAATAGACTACTAAATATATTCTCAATGTGAAATTATAATTGAATGACCTGATGATAATGCTTTCAACTACTTAGTCTCTAAGCCAAGTAATAACCCACCTAATTTGGTTTCGGAAAGTGCTTAGTAATGTTTCCTCAGGCAGAAAAAGATTGTAATCATCAGTTTGATCAAAAAATGCATAGAGGGTTATTAACCTGTAAGTAATTTTAAATCTGAAATGCAAGGGAGACATAATTAGCGAAGTTCGCCTAAGTTGTTTGGCTAGAACGATTTGAAAAACATTCTTTGCTGCATCTCTACTTCTCACACTCTCTACATATGCTCTTGTTTAACAAAATGCCAAGGAAATGATCTGACCACTGGTAGCTCCAATGTATATTTACCAGTTCCCTTGCACCTGTGGAGTTAAGTACATAGACCATAACAGCAGGACACAGTCCAGATACGCGCATCAATACTTACCAGCCTGGTTATCAAAAGGAGAATACAGGACAGTCAACAACTTAATAATTCTGGAGTACATTATCACTTCCGGGTCATACATCATCAACAGAGACTTCATTCATAGTTATACATGAAATACGACAAAGCTGTTCAAAAGGATTTCGCCTACACCTTCATGAATGAAGTCGAAACTTTGGTGACCCATTAGGAAAAGCCTGAACTTCGCGTTCAGAAATATTTTATTCAGCTTCTTTTACTACTGAAGCTTTAAGTATCAGTTTTTCTTCTTTAATAAATAATAATAATTGGCTTTATTCCAAAACAGTACTTGTGATACAGAATGGAATTTTCAGCATTACACTACATACAGTATTGCATCCAGTTGGTACATTAAAAATAAATAAAATTCTACATAGATTATGGGTAGTCTCAGTTAATTTTGACAACATATAAGCATGTCGGTAGCAAAGTCAAAAGTGAACAGAATGTTTGAAGGTGTTAGAAGAGTAGATGCTAGCATATTTACTGGCGTAAAATGAAGAAAGAAACAAAGCAGCACATAACAGAAAAAAGAGAGAGAGAATAGGAAAAAAAAAGAAAACGTTGTACCTATACATGATATGAGTTGGAAAGACGAGATCCAATTGTTCTACTGACTATTTATTAAGTTATAGGTATCACGCCTAATGCTTTCTTTATCACACAGAACACGCGCTAGGTAGGCTGTGATTGACTTTTTGTACTTGCTAGTGCGAGCATATAGTTTTCTATATAGGCTCCTTGTCCTGTCTGATGAAATACAAGGAGAGAGATGTGAATAAAGAGGGTGGTGTGAGTTAGACAGATAGAATGGATTTAGCCCATTTTCACATGAGTCCAAGTGCCTGTCGACCAGAATATTAACAAGTGACACGTTGCTTACCCTGCTGACAACCTTTAAAATCCTACGTAGTAAGGTATAGTCCTTCTTCAGTAGCCCAGGAAAAACTAAGGTGGAACAATAGAGAATAATAGGCAGGATACGGGAGTTAAAGAATTGTAGGAGTAAGGGTTGGGTTATACCAGAATGTCTTAACTTCTTGATATAGAAGGTAAGGCAGAATATTTTCTTAGAAATCATCAAGATATGAGATGATCAGGAAAGATCAGCAGATAGGATGACGCCAAAATATTTAATTTCCGATTTGGTCTCTATTTCAGTGCCATCTATGTTGCACACCTCATGAGTGCTAACCAGTTTGTTTAGGTCAGATTTATGCCTACAGGTGAAATTGACTGTTTGACGTTTAGAGGGGTTTCAGGTTAGACCGTTTTCCTTGGACCACTGGCTGATTTCTGATAAAAAGCCATTTAGTTTGGAGCAGTCACTTTGACACTTAACAGGCAAAGATACAGTCAGGTCGTCAGCATATTTAACAAAATTAATGTCATTTGAAGATGGTAAGTCATGCAGAAAGAAAGAAAAGAGAAGTGAATAGTTGTATAAAAAAAACTATGTAGGCGTTTTCATTTTATTTCTTTAAACGATTTTCTATCCTTTGTTCTCTAGTTTCATATTACAATTATTTCGAAGTAACTACTCATCATTTAACTAAGCCGTCAACCCACTCTCCATTGCGTGAGATTATTCACAATTTTTGTCAAAACTTGTTATTACTAAAACACACTGATTTATTCTGTGAAGAAAATTTTCTTTATCAACGAAATCATCTTCAGAGGCTGTACAGTCGTATTTATACTAACAAAAAATATATAGTGGTCTATCATTGAGTAATAGGGGGTACCACATAATTGATATAATTACTCAATGTGTGTTTATAAATTCACCTGCTCATGTGGAGCTAGTTATATTGACCGTAAAAAGCTCAAGTTTTCCAAACGCATCTCTGAACATTATCCGGCATGGTTAGCAAAGGGACAATGCAAGACAATTACTAGCTCAATTCTCGAGCATTTGGTGAACTCAGGTCACGTAGCTCCACCACAGTCGTCTTTTAACACCATCTAAAAAGTGAAGCCAAATGGTAAAAAGGGCGTCAGGTTTCGACTTTTGTGTATGGCGGAGGCACTGGCAATTCGTCAATACAACCCTAAACTCTGTATACAGAAAAAGTTTGTCCAGTCTCTTATTCTACCTTGGTCTTAACCTCTTCACTAATCGTTCCCTGTAAAAAATTTTGATTTTTGCTTTTGTTTTTAATTTTACTTTTCGTTTGCTTTTGCTTTAATAATTAATTCACTACTATCAATCTCATATGCTCCTTTTGTATATTTTCACACCCTCTTCACACTTGTTAAATTGACACTCAAATATCTTTATTCTCACTCCATAGCAATTTTAACCTTATCAAATTTCTATCTTTGTGCAGCTGAGTACCACATAATTTACAACTTTTAATTTTCACTTCTAAAGCCACTTATGATTAATTATATCAATTATGTCACCCCCTATTACTCAATAATAGACCACTATACATTTTTCTAAGTATAAATACGACTGTACAGCCTCTGAAGATGGTTTCGTCGATTAGGAAAATTTTCTTCGCTGAATTTGTCTTGTATTTTCGTCATGACTCAATGGGTATTTTCGGTGATTTATTCTGTTACTGAATGACAATAACCTCTGACCTCCGTTATCGATTAATATTGTATATATATAAACTTCCTAAATAACTAACTATACAGCTTTGAAGAGAATTTACGAAAAGAAATCTCTTCGCTGACTTATGTATTCTTAATTCAAATCACATGGGAGTTGGTCATAGCCTAAAGAAAACAGAAGTTTTGTTTTGATTTCAATCATTTATGCAGAATGAAAAACATTACTATTACAAAAATGACTTTTGTGAGATGGCCTGATAAATAGGCTTATTGATTTAAAGATAAAATAATACATTTAACACCTTCCACTTAACAAGTAAGAATTCAATATTATCAAACTAAAGTATTTATCTGATTATCATATCTTCTGTAGCAATAGAGGTGATAATGTCCACTTGTGATTCACTAATACAGAATCTTAGCAATCAACCACCAACAAGCCCAAAACAATGGAATTGATTTAAATTTATTAAAGGAGGAACAGTGCGAAAAGTTGTCAGTTATTGCTACTCTAGAATGAGATAGTGACGATCAAATGTATGTTAATACAGTTTAGATTTATTCATGCAAATTTTTAACCCACTGTTTGACTCCTGATGTTATCCAGTATATCGCTAAGCTATTCAAATACATGCACGAAACCTAGGTCCAAGGCTTCCTATGGCCGATTGCCTCCAACTATCTAATATCATCAAATCAATGTGCACCGTGATGGCGAGCTACCTAGAATGGTGACCACATTACAACCTGACTGATAGAATTCAGTCTGCACCAATCAGAGGACTAGACACATCACACTAGTTACTAGTGTCCAATCAAAATACCCACTACAGTCCTACAGGAGGTCATTCGCGAGCCCGAATAGCTCAGTGGTAACGTCTCTGACTTCAGCACTGGGTGACACGGGTTCGAATCTCAGAAGGGACATGAGTTCCTCCAAGGTTGCAGATACGCCTCGCTGATGAGTGCCAACTAGCACGAAACCTAGGTTCAAGGCTTCCTGATGATCGCCTCCAACTATCTAATATATTCAAATTTAGACAGCATTATACCAATGTACTTGAATGTCTTAGTAGGATACCTTATACCTATAAGTTTTACCCGACATATGAACACAACTTCACCGCTTCGCAAGAAAATCTTAACTTTTATCGCACATATAAAATCAGGAGATTTAAATATCACAAAGCCACAAGACATTAATATGCGCACCTAATCAATTTTTATAGCTTCTATATTGATATCGATGGACTGCAAATTAGAAACAGAAGACCTACAAATGTATAGAGATCTCACTACTTCACAATTTTTCCACAGTCCTATATTTAAACAGTCTTAATAAGTACAGACTAGCAATCATGTGACTAACTGACTGACTGACTGATCATGTACATTTCTCAACAAAAGTGGTTCATTAACGATAATTCATCTGGCTTTTGTTTTAGATGAGGCAGGAGTTCGGTATCATACATTCTTTCTGATCAATTTCTATTGTTTGTTATTTCAGTCTGCAAGAGAAGAAAGTCATTTTGTGATAAATATAAAAAAAATTAAAAAGTTGGTTTACGTTTCTATAATTTCAGGTACCATACTCGTTTGCTGCCCGCATGAAACTCATGAAAAGTAATGTCAGATAGAAAATCAGTTTCCCCACCAAAAAAATATCTTAAGAAACAAACATTATTATTATTGTTCCCTTGGATTCCTAGTGGAACATAGGGCTTCAACTGTACGTCTCCACTTGCTTCTGTCTTCCTTCTGCTGTACTTTTCACCTGCATCCATGTTAGTCCATACTCTTTCAACTCCTCTTCACACGATCTCCTACATGTCACTCTTGCATTGACGAACAACTCGCCGCTACCCTCTCGAGTTCCACTCGAGCAATGGCCTGACGTGCGATGTCACACAGTGGCCTCCCTTCACAGCGAGTGTCCAATCCATCTCCACTTTCTCCTGCATATTTGTTGCTTGGTGATTGGTTCTTGTTTTGTTTGTTCCCATAATTTCTTGTTGGTGATTCTTTCCGGCCCGGCCATCTGATCTTCAGTATAGAGCCAGTGAATACAGTTGTTGATAAAGATCTGCAACAGGCTGTTGGAAATATTCTTTGTGACCCACCCGACAAGTTTCTGATCCGTATTGAAGAGCTGACTGACTTGATGTTTGTATTGAAGATCCGAATTTTGTTGTTGATGTTGAGTGACATCAAAGAAACAAACATCCTGTCTGTCTTATCCATTAGATTTATGATCATTTATTTATTTATTAGAGTCTTAGGTCTCCTTGTATTGCTATACAGAGAGATTTTGCAGTTGGCTTCAAGCATACAGACGAAAACGTCGTTTTTTAAAGGCATCAATAGTATATACAACCTTTGAGATATCTTCAGTGAATCGACGAATGTTCAGAATATGTTTCTTAGCGAGGTATAAATGACTTCTCTAAGAATAGTCGCCAACAATACATTCTCTGATTTAGAGGCTAATATTCAAGGATATTAACTAACTGACATATCTATCTAGGAAGTTACATTATTTCGAATAAGATGGTTGCCAACAAAATATTTGTCTACTTGACTTCTACCAACCTGTGCTATTGTAGAGTGATGATACTCAGATGCCAATCGAAAATCGGTTGTATCTTACATAACCATTGAAAGTAGAGGAGGAAGAGGACTCAAGTAATTGACAACAGTTACACCTTAATAGTATAAAATCTCTAGTTGCTTTTATTAACCCTGTAGGCCATTCTAGTTGGTAAGAAAACAGTCTAATAACTACTTATTCATCATCATAGTCTCCACAACGCTGAGGTCTACAATAGGCAAGCATCTCATTTGATCTCGGGGAAACAAGACCGACAAAATCCGGGCAATTGTGGTGACTAAAGCCTCACTTGTGAAATATCCCAATACTTAGGAACCCCCGAAATTTTTCGTACTCACTACGACACTATAAAGATCACCTCTTAAAGGAAATAAAAAGGAAGGACCAAGTGCTGCATAAGAAAAGGCTAGCAAAGAAGTGAATAGGCAATGATGTGACACCCAATGATTCATGTCCACTCACCGTCTATTCACGAAGCCACTGGCTATTGACCTGAGACTAGCAGGGAATTGTGGACTATCTGGATTGGGTTGTTGGGATTCTGAAGAACAACGGCTGGAAATCTTCAGTAAGATAACCTAAAATCGTTGCCAGTGGTTCACATGTGTTCACTCCTTAACATCTATCTTCTGCAACATTTCCCTAATCGTTACTTGATCGTCTCCGTAGCGTGCATATTAATCTATTGACTGACAGTAAATACAGGTAGTGTAAATCATTTTTTTTTATTAGGAGTGTAGAGCAAGAAGTTCATAATTCTGTATGTACAAGGATACTGGTAGGTCAGATGATGGAAAGTCAAGGGGAAATTTTTCCTCGACTGATTGAACCGTTGTCACAAATCGTGAAGAAATGAAATAAGACATCAGCTTAAGCATTTAAATTATCATCATAAACTGCAAATACCCAAAAATCCATGTATTTATGATTCCAAAAAAACAAAAAGGAACTTACAGGAACATCGATAAAAAATGGATTGAAGCCAGGATACGTACTATGGTAAGAATATACTTTACACGGGTTAAATGAATTTGTCAAAGGGCAGCCACAGAACCTAGTTGAGTAGGAGTTATTGATTGAAGATGATGACGAAGATATGCGAAATGACTTGTCAAGACCATCTTGATTATTTCCACTGGATGATTCTTCATTTTGACATGTTCCCAAAACTGAGTTCCTGTCAGCTTTACGATTCAAATAAAATACTAGACCGAAGTACTGCGACTCTTCTATCTCTAAGTATTGACAAACTGTATCCAAAAGCTGACGTCCAAGAGCAAGTTTCTATTTATGAAGGTGAAAACTGTTTATTATTTAAAAGTATATGAAATATGATGAATGACTACAAACAAATTTATTTCATATTGTCACCAAACTACCACCAGATGCACAGTATTACTAACGTAATAGTATAGTCAGTGATTATCAAGTAGAGCATACTTGGTGTTAAGAAATACAGGCAGTAATTGTACCAGGAACACTTCTCAAAACTGAAGGATATCAACAAGCAGTAGGATAGGTAGAAACTGATCTATGAGCCACAATCATTATGGGATAGACATCAAAACCAAATTGAAAAACAACTATTTAATATCAACGTAGCAGGAGGACTACGTACAAATCGCAAACCAATAAAACTTCATGTTTACAAGTTAGTAACATCGTTCACTTTGTATAACAATGCATGAGAGTTTGCGACAATATTCACTAGCTTGAATTGATAAACATAGACTTCGTGGGATACATTTGAAAGAACAACTACATTGCGCTTATTTTTCAGTTAACTGCTGTCGCAATGTCACCGATCAACAGGCTAAATGGGTGGTAAGCCTACATGAAAACCGTTTTGTCTGAAGTTCTACCAGATGGCTTCACCATAGACTTGAATACCCACATAAACTCATTCGAAGAACCTATAGAATCGGGTAACCCAACTTTAAATTCCATGAACTGTCCCTAATGGGTGGGAACAGTGTCCTTTACGAATAAACCGAAAGATTCACAACCTAATTAAGAGGAAGCACCTCTCCAGTAGCTGTTAGGAAATATATGGAGGAAACTTAATGGGACCTCATGGGCATCACCGAAAATTTCTCAAGGAGATAGCAATCCAAAAGGCTTATCCATTGACTGCTATCTTTACACTATCTCCAAAACAAAGTGTTATCATTTGACTGAAAGGATGCAATAATCCCACCTGTCCTAAAGACAGGGACTAAGCAATATTCTTTAAGCCTATAGGCCTGTTAGTCTTACCACTGCCTTAGTGGAAACTTAGGAAAGAATGATTACAAAAGAAGTTATACCTTACCTGAAAAACAATAGTTTCTTATCTACGGCTTTCGAAGAAATCTCCTATGTGATACATACCACAGGGAAATAAAGCTGTGTTAAGTCTAAGGACAATGAGAACCTGTTGATACGTTCTTCACAGACTTTAACAAGAATTACAAAGGTGGGAAGTGCAGCGATTGTTGGTAGCCCATTTACTTGAACTAGAACTCCTTCACGGTAGAAGACAGGAAGTAAAGATCACCTCTTCCCCTCTTGAAACAAGGTATGGATGGGGTGCCACAAGGCACGCCGCTCTACTCTCTATTGTTTCTACTGTATGCTAGAAAATTACCTAAGCCAACCAAATCAATACACCGAAAATACAAAACATTGGAGGGTGGTCGAGGAAGGCAGTGATGTGCGTACACAGATGCAGTCCGTCGACACACCCTAGTATGTAGGCATGCGCACGGAATATGCACGTGGTTCAGTGTACTGCAGGTTCACAAGCACATTGACTTAAGCGTCATAGTATGTCACGACTTAGTGTCGTCAAGTTGCGGCTCAAGATTTTACTAGGAATACCAGTGAGATATTGACAGTTCTATAAATCTTACGTGAAGTGAAAATTAGGAGACCCAGCAGCTACCCCTTGTCCAGGAGATAACTCATGCAGGAAAAAACCAAACGAAGATCACACTTATGGCCCCTTGGTTTGACTGATCGGCGATGCTAGGAGCAACCTCGACGACTCTTCTTACATACCGTAAGCAGAGATAAAATGTAATCATGGAGTTTAGAATCTTAAAAACTGATAATGGTCATGATTAGCTTTCTGTCTCTCCTATCGTGTCTGAACACAAACGACTGGCCAGCGAAGTACAAAAGCCAAGAAACAACCCTAACAAATAAAGTGCTGATCTCCCCACTAAGTCTTCAACTTTTAGCATTAAAGAGCACAAGAAATTGTTTCAATGCATTCAGCCGGTTCATTTAAAACTAGAATAGATGCGCACAGATACTTCATAAAATTGAATTAACAAAGACTGAATACGGTAATCCCTACTAACTTACGTGAAATTCATATAAACAGTATAACTTACATGTACATTAAATCTAAGGCACCTTCCATCGAGACAAAATACAGAACATTTGGTTGATGACACCGAACAAGATTCCTTCAGACTGGCAGCTTTACGTAAGAACGACCGTAAACTTCTTGGGATACTGTTTGCTTTCTCTAAATGAGAGCTGGTTTCATCAAGATTTGTTCTCAAGCCAAATTCGCTGATATTATGATTCCGCTCCGAATCACTTGAAGTTACTGGACATGAAGAACGAGGCAGCCAAACATCTTCTGAGGAGTTGGCGGAATGAGACAAATGATCATTTTCCATTGTAAATGAAAGATATCACGTCTTAAAATCTCTACATTTTACAGGTGATGTAATCCCATGAGATTCGGAAGTCTCAGCACAAATAAAATCTGGAAATATTGGAAAAAGAAACGCAACATTTAATAGCCACAAATCAAAGATCACGGTCGTTACCCAACTAAACTGACATGGGGCTTTTATTAACACATTTGCCACTGAAAACGAGTAGATTTCTAAGCGCTACCTCCTGAAAAACATGCAGGAAATACTACATCCAGTAATCAACAGTGGGAACATGAAATAAAACAGTATCAAATTAGTGTCCTCAGTTAAGAATAGATAGACCATATATGTACATGTACATATATAAACGCATGCGTGCCCGTCAACCACCAAATTCACCGTAACCAATAACGTGTTCACACGTCTCGCCGCAACCTAATTTTGGTATATTTTAAGCGGAAGGTAAATGGAGTCGCAGTGAAAAACATACTGGTCACTCTGTTCTCCTATCATGTAAACCAAAAGATTTTGTTAAATAAAGCAACAAAATACTACGACAATTAAATGCCCATAGACATGTATGATATGTAATACATCCCCAAATAAAAAATTTGGGCGCAATTTTGGGAAATTATGGGGCAAAACTTGGGAACTTTTAGTGGTTTGTGGGTTGAGGAGCTATTCGGGGGATAAGGAAGAATTTCCCCGAAATTTTCTCAAGATGTTTGCATTTTGTCGCCCCTAAGCTACCTAATAAAAACCCCGAAATTTCCGCAATTTGTTTTTATTTGGGATCATATTGGATTGCATTGAATGCAATCCTAGATCTGGGAGGTATTAAAAATAAGAATGCGACAGTGGCAATAATAGATAATTACCACCACAGAAATAATGAAGTATCACTATAATAATTATTATAGTGATAGCTAGTCTTTAAAGACTGCGTACTTAGCAAACACGCGTTTGCAACAATAATAGGGAATATGAACGGGATTGTGAATACAGTTACTTATCAATTGCCACTTAAGTAGCATTAGTTTATTTTATGACTAAAACCCATTCCATTTGTGGGCTTATAACTGCTAAAACGTCTGAAATTCACCATACGCACCAAAACGCGACACCAACTTTGACCTTGAGATTGGTTCAGGCGCCTAAAGAAGACTATCAAAGTATCCAATATCCAAACGGCCACTATCCCTTTTACGAGTCAGCTCAAGGCAAGTTAGTTCCTTTCAGAGTGCCTCTTGGTTGCAAGGAAAAGATTCCTGAACTTCTGTAAATCCCCGCGTAGTGTGTCACGACACTTGAATGTTATAGTTTCTGTTGACTCCGAGGGAAGTGACGGGGAGATTGGTTTTGTGTTGTTTCCAGTGTGCTACGGTGTTCTGCTGCTATAAATGCAGTCAATACTTCACCTATCACAATTCGGTTAATGCAATTATTGTAGATTATATAGGCTTAAAGAAAACGCGCAAACAAGTAGACGGTGAAATTTTATGCTTAGGAGGTAGATTTTTGAATAATTAGATTAGCAACAAAGGTTAGACAGTGGAGAATGAGCAATAGAAAAAGATCAGTTCAGAAGATGCCTATTAATTGCTCAATGTTAGCCTATTCGTTTGCTAAACTAACAAGTATAAGTGATTCTCATGACTGTTGCACGTGGAAGATGAAATTCCCCGTTTAATTCGCAACACTGTATTGTTGAATGCACTAATTCAATACATCGAATTACTGTAAGCATGAATCGTATTCATTCTCACAACATTATCTGCCAAGATTTTTCGCCGTCAATCTACTACCTGCCATAGCACTTTCACTGACACCATATATTTAGTGTTAGCGTTTTAGCGTTTTCGATCGCCGAAAGTGGAAAGGAATTCGTCCTTGAAAATACATGTCTATCAAGCAATGCAGGTGTAGTATCACCCCTAAATGTTTGGACTGCAATATTTGTTATTGTGATTCTAACATTTCAATATTCATTTTGAAATTTAAACGAGGAAATTACATTCCACAACTGCTTCCATCCATCATATCCGTCCTGCAAGAGTCATTCTCGCAAGTGGCGACTGTGTTGCAAGATGTCGAGAGGATGTCTGTAACCGGAAGGCGTAGGTCGTCATCGACGAGTGTGATTGTGCTGTGGGAATGTCTGTGGTGTGTTGGCTTTTCTGTTTGTTTTCCATTTCAGCTTTGTCCGCGTGACCCCGGTTCTCGCACTGGCAACCAAGTCAACGTATATTGGTCGTGATGGAAAAAAGGGATGGATTCGTTTTTTGCCAAGGAGTGTCAATGCGGTTGAAGATTGAATGATCAATTCATGGTTGTTTGCTCAAACCCGACTCCTCCATATTTTTCGCGGGTGTCATCAATCCATCAGTCATCCTCTCATCAGCCTACAACGCTTCCGAGGTTGCTCCCATGGGTTCGGAAATATTCGTTATTTTATATGCTGACCTCCTTCTAACATCTCTCTCCTCAAATCTGAACGGTGACACGCCCATGCCATTGTACTGTCGAATATCGAGCACTAAAAAACATACGACGTATCTGACAAACTAAGTGTAGGCTCAGAGAAATTTACACCAATGTTAACAACATTCAAATAGTACTGTCAGTCACGTCTCTTAAACCGTTAATGCCCAGCTCTTGCTACGCTGGGACTCACACTGTTCCTTGAAGTTTCTCAGAAACGCTTAGTAATAACGGACGAAAAAACCAAAACACCAACTGGTGACCCGAGGATTCTTTATTGTTACACCAACATATAAACACTTTTACAACTAAGGTCTGTGAACAAATATTACAATAATAAATCACAATATTACTTCTGACAGTTTTGGTCTGACTTCTTTCTGAACAGCGACCGATGAGACGATGACTGGTGTATCGATGTCTCCGCGAAAATTGGGGTAGTTGGTTTTGAACAAACAACCATGAATTGATCGTTCAATCTTCAACTCCATTGACACTCCCCGGAAAAATACAGATCCATCCCTTTTTTCTATCACGACCAATACACGTTGACTTGGATGCCATTGCGAGAACCTGGGTCACTCGGACAGAGCTGAAATGGAAAACAAACAGAAAAGCCAACACACCACAAGCATACCCACAGCACAATCTCACACACCAATGACGACCTGCGCCTTCTTCTTGCAACACAATCGCCACCTGGTAGAATGACTCTTGCAGAATGCAACGTGACCATAGCACCACCTCATGATACTCCACACACATCCTCTTATCTACTCACTACCAGTTACCACTGAAATCGCTTGTCACTCATTCTGCCTCAGTTCTAGTAACGGTGACGTACGCAAGCCTCGGCCGTCTACACTCCCGCTCCCCGGCGTGTGGGATCACAGCTAATCCTCATCTCCGTATGCATGTCATTCTCAGCAATAGCCTCCCCGGCGTACACGACCCATCTGCTGTCTCTAACATCAATCGATTCATTCACGGATGTAGAAGACTCGAAACAACTTCAGAAGTAATCACGACGAAAATTTTAACAAAATTATGCAATAACAACAAGGTACGAAAACAACGAGTAAACAGAATCAGTCCAAAAAACACCAGTTGATATGACACACCACACATATATGCAAACAGTACACACAAACTCGCAGACCGTGTCTCGATGGAATTCCTTTGAAGAATTGCAGGACTTACACCAGTACACCTGCAAACCTTCTCAGGTTGACGATTGTAAGTTGTGGAATGTCCGGACACAAACAAGATTAACCGACAATTACATTAATTGGAACTCACACAATTATTTAACACAAACATATGTACAATCAACACATCAAAGTGGTGGATTCTGGCTTGACGAACTACCCTTGAATAACCGTAGGACTTACAGCAGTACGCCTACATTCCTTCTCAGGTAGTGATACAAGTGGAAGACGTTCAGACACAAACAAAATTATGAAAAGACAGAAGAAAGATGATATCAATTCAGTATATATAATATGAACATATGTACAAAATTACACACCAAGCACGTTGGGCTGCTCATCGATGCGCCACCCTTTGAAGAATTGTAGGACTTACAGCAGTACGCCTACAACCCTTCTCAGGTTGACGCCCTAGGTTGGAAAATCGTTGCAGAGTTCATTTGCTGACTTCCTTCTATCATCTATATCCTCAAACCTGAACGGCAACACGCTCATGTCATTGTATCACAGAATATAGATGATGAACAATCATACGACGTATCTGGTCAACCAAGCATAGGCACAGAGTAATTTACACCAAAGATAATAGCATTCAAATAGTAGCTTGAAACTTGAAAAACCTTTTTTCATGCAAGTCAACTTAACAATTACCCTCTCGTACACAGTTGGCTTATCCTCACTAAACTGACTAATATCCTTCGTCCTTTGAAATGCACCAATACTATCATAGTCATTGCACAAGGCACTTGAGTTGATGGGCGCCTTCTTCATTGTGGATGACAAAACCAACGACAACTGATTGATACCAGTTGATGAACTTAGCGGTGGATCAGAAGCTGTTGTTGTTCGGCTTTCAGAAAGTTGTCAAACTGCAAGATTACCACCACTGCTGTCTTTTACTATTAGCTCAGGTTTAGCACTAGCATCTGATGATAGGTGGGCTTCACTCTGATCAATTACACTGACGGTTTGACAAGTATGCATGCCTTCTGCAACTGCATCTGCATTTATTTCTACTTCACGTTCAAATTGTACAGAAACTTTATTCAACTTAGCAGTAGTAGGCATTCCCCTCATTTCATCATGATCGACCAAAGACAAATGTGAAGTATCATGATCATTATCATGAATATTCACTTTAACGTCAATTTCATCATTTGCAAACTCTTTAACAACAGCACCAGATGATTTGCGTTGTTCCTCACAAATCCTTAAAGGTTTTATATCTTCACTCTGACCAGTAACACCTTGTAAACTTGTGGAGTCAGAACTGTCCTCTGAGACTGTAGCTCTCCTATGTGACACTCTTTCAAACAATGGCTTACCAGT